AGGGGAAGGGGGAGGGGAACAGCAGCAAGCCGTGTGCCGGGAGGCGAGTGAGGGCGGGACTGGGGAAACGGGAGAGTTACTGGAAGTTGGATGTCACATGACAGAAAAGCTCTTTTGGGGTGGGCCCCCGGTTGGGTGTGGCCGGGGGATATGTCGGGGGTCCTTTGATAGTAAAAACAGTACGAAGCTGGTTTCAGTCTGCATTGAGCTGATTAGTACAGCTAGAACAACTAGTAGGACAAAGCATAACAAATTGTCGTAAATCAAATCTTTGGGCTTTCGGTGCTTAACGGTGGACTGTTAACGGAACGTGAGCGGGAAGACCTTCCCACCCCGCTCCCGCCTCCCCTTCTCTCCCCTCACCCCGGCCCGCATCCCTCTCCCCCGCCCCTATCTAATGGGGTGTTTCGCATCCCTCGCCCCTCAGGTCCTTTTCGGCCTTCGTGCCTCCGAGCGACTAGTGGCCACCGCCTCGTGCTATTTGAGTCCCCCCTTGGGGGCGCTGGGGCCCTCTGCCGGGCTGGGTACAGGCCTTCCCCTGCTCGGGGGTGGTGCTGGTGCAGGGGGTGGGGGTGGGGGCGGCGGGGGGCTGTTGGGAGGAGCGGGGGGCGGGTGGGGGAGGGAGGGGTGTTTGTACGTCACCAGCCGGGTTTTGGGTTTCAGTACGATGCTGGCGGGCGACCTGAAGGGTATCACGGACATCACCCATCACATCAAGCTTAAGGTAAGGGAGGGTGAGGATGGGGGGGGGGCGGGAATTGCGAATGTGTGCGTGGGGGGTTGAGGGTTTTGTGGATGTGTACAAGGATGCGCGCGTGTGTATGTGTATGTATGTATGTATGTGCTTTTTTGTGTCAGCGTGTTGTAGCTGTGTTTTAAAGGGGGGTTGGGAGTTCAGAAACGTTGGGTCTGCGATTTCTCTGCGATTTTGACTCCGCACTGCTCCCTTCCCCCCAACTCGGGCTGACCGGACCACCTGCCACCTCCCATACCCCGGCGCTCACCCCGCCCCCAAACTGCCTCGCCGCTTCCGAAGACGGTTCGGGAGGTGGCGCGAGGAGAGGGGCCCGATACTCTACTGGTTTTGACGCATGGTAAGTTGTACGGCAATGTTGCGACAGTGTACGGCCAGCAAATATACGGCCTGGATGCCTTGGCTATCAATGTATGTCTGCTTCATTATTTTCCCGGCCCAGCTTTCCAAGCTGCACTATCCATCCCGTAAACCATCCTTCTCAAGTTGGCCCCCGTACCATCCTCTGCTCGACCCTACTTTGCACGCCGATAAAGGTGGTGATCTGTACCACTTGTACGGCTTTGCTGCTGGGGAGAGGGACCGACTCTGGAGCCTTCTCAACGGAACCCCCACCGTAAGCCGTGTGCCGTACAACCACCCCGGGTTCCCGGCTTTAACCGGCGGCGGCGGCGGCACCGCCAGTCACGGCAACTCCCCGCGTCGCCGCATGAGCTACGGCGGCGGACAGACGCCGACGGGTGGGGCCAACGGCAGCGCAGGCGGCGGCGGCGTCACACCGTCGGGTGCCGCTACACCTCCGCTGGGCCTCCCAAAACCGCCCTCCCAGCCCGCCAACTTGGCAGCGGCGCTGCTCTCCGCCTTCACGTCCTCTTCCGCAAGCGCGGTCCCTGCCGCTGCCACACCATCGGGGGCGGCCGCCGCCGCTGCCGCCGCCGCCGGCGTCAGCAGCAAGCTACTGAAGGCGGGGGGGCCCGCTGACACAGCGGCAGTGGCAGCAGCCGCAGCCGCCACTACTGCCAGCGGAGGCGGAGGCGGCGGTGCGTCCGGTCTTGCCGCGGAGAGCGGCGCGCTACCGTTGCTGTCAACTCCTTGCCATTTGGTGAACGTGTTGCGCAACAAGGAGGGGACACTGCACTTGTATGCATCGCGGCTAGAGTTTGTCTGTGTGACCGACCCAGGGGTCAGTCGCTCCATGCCGCTGGCGGACATCAACAATGTCAGCCAGCGGCCTGCCGGCTGGGGAGGCGGCTCTGTGTTGGTGCTTTCCTTGGAAGGGGACAAGGCACCGATGATACTTGGCGGCATTGGCGATGCGATGTTGGCTGCGTTGAAGCAAAGCATTTCGGAGCTATGCTTCGCTAACGGCTGAACACCATAACTTTAGCTCCAGCATTATCTGCCGTACCTATCCAAGGTGACCAGAAGTCTGTAAGATCCGTATGAAAATTTGCGAGAGCTTGGAGCGTGGCTTTCAGTTTGCATGATGAATAAGGGCAAAGAGCTTTTTTGTTGCAGATGCAGGCAGTAATAGCTGCCACCTGCTGCGGGCCCCCTTCGCTACTAGGCAGCCTGGAAAGGTGTTAACCATCAGGGGACGTAACCATCCTGTTCCACATTACCACTATGACTACACAGCACCCCACCACTACTACCACTACTACTACTACTACTACTACTACTACTACTACTACTACTACTACTACTACTACTACTACTTTATTTTCACGCACCCAGGTAAGCGCGTAGACAACCGTGTCCAACTCGGAAACGCATCATCATCATCATCATGTCCATCATCATCATGTCCAGCTACCGCACTAAGCTAAGCCCTGAAGCCATTCAAGGACTTCTCTTGCGGCCGTACAGCACCCCCGGTTGCGGGGTGGAAGTCCACCTGTGGCCAACGGAGTCCACCAGGCTGCCCACTACGCAGTGATACAAGGGAAGTGGTTGAGGATCATCCTCTCGTACTGCCGGACCTAATATTTTTCTACGCCATCCAGCGCCGCAACAGCTTGTGCTATGTCCGCCGTAATGTTTCAATGATAACGCACGCGCACCGTAGCAGCCCTTGTCCTGGCCGTCATTAAGCACCAGCATGGAAAATCACATTCAATGCAGCTCGTCGTGTTCGTGTTCGTCAACATTATGCGCCACTCGCGTATGGGCCCTGCAGGGCCCCGCTGGGACCATGCGTGGACCTGTTTGTCTTGATACCTGCTGAACCGCTATCGCCTCCATTTCCTGCTACTGCCTCCACTTGCATAATAACCACCAGCGGGAGAAACGCGCCCAAGGAGCTCACCACGGCTCACTCAGATCCTCCGCCGCCACGTGTCCCCCGGCGTGAACGACCTCTCACCGCAATTGATCCCTCATCGCCCAGCCCCGCAGCAGGGGCCTTCTGGGCCCCCATTGCGGCGGCAGCGGCCGTGACTCTCTTCCTCCGTTGTGGCTGCTCCCCCTCCTCCCCTTCCCCTTCCCACTCCTCGGGTTGCGGCTCCATTTCATCGCCCTTCTCAGCCTCGTCCGCAGCTACCCGGCCCCGGCGACCCCGAGGAGCCCCGCCCGAGGCCGCCCCTTCGCCCGCCTTCCCCCCTCCACTGCCCCTCCCAAGCCCCTCTGCCCTTCCCTGGACGCCGCGGCGATTGCCAGCTGCCCCCTGAATGGCCCCTGTCCGGCCAACACCGGCGGCTCCGGTTGCAATATCCTGCTTCGGATCCCCCTCCTCCTCCTCCCCCCGGTCTTCCTCCGGCTTCGTTACCTCTCTGTCGTCCTCCTCCTCCTCCTCCTCCTTTGCCTTCTTCGACTGCTTCCCCTGCCGCTTCCCCCTTTTGTTCGCTTGGACCAACCCGGTGGTCGCCGCAGCCGCCGCGCCAGTAGCCGCCAGTGCAGCCTCCCGGGTCCAGCCGGTCATACTCTTGACGGGCTCGAAGCTCCGTCGGTGTACAGCACTGGGACCGTATTTCCGGATGGCCTCCATGTGCGCGGGCACACCGTAGCCCTTGTGCTGCGCGAAGCCGTACTGCGGGTACTGCTCGTCCAGTTTCATCATCAGCCGGTCTCGTGTCACCTGTGATGGTGGTGGTGGACGGGAGGAAGAGGTGGTGGGGATAAGAGGTTCGGATCCACTGCAAGGCACGGCACGGCATTGTCGTTCACGTTCATTTCAGTGGTTTGCGGACGCGGGGAGCGGTATCAGCCACCCAGCAGCATCACCACCACTATTGGTCATCGGGTCTTCACCACCATGCGTCGCAACTCATCACCATCTCGAAAGGCCCACCTCGCGGAGTATTTGAGTAAAGGAGTATGTTTATAACTTGTCGGTAACTTTGTTCAATCGGTTTACAATCCTTAAAGTTAAGGGAGAGGTTGCGGATGCAGCCGAGGACGAGTAGGGGCCCTGGCAGTAGTCACAGAGCGAGGGCGGAGTGGAATGGCGGGAAGGGAAAGGCAGGGGGAGGGGGAGGTTCGAAATGAGGCTAGAAGTGGGAAACGAAAGGAAGAAGGAGCAAGAAAATGTCAAAGTGCCGACATGCATGCAACCAAGCACCACTGCCAAGGGCGAAGGCAGGAGGGAAGGCGGGAGGTGAGTAACCCGCAGCAACACGGGGAAGCAAGGACAGATTTCCATGTAACGGAAGTTCGACCACATTCAAACCCTAGCCTTGAGGCCTACCATCACCCTCCAATGGGGCCGTATGTATGTTGTTACAGGGTGGTTAACTTCGCCAGCGGCCCCCTTTCCCGGGGCAGTCCCTGCTCTCCCCTGCTAGAGGGGCACCCTAATCCGCCACCCAATCCGACTTCGGAATGTATTCGTTGGGTTCGGCAACTCACCACCAGCATCCAACCAAATCTAGCGGATCAACGGCGCATCAACTTAGTTCCTGGTTAGCTCGCAAGTTGATTTGGGGATGTATGTCGGTAATACGTTTATCCCCCAAACCTCCCCCCTCCAGCCCAGCTTCCCTCCCCTCCCATCCAACGATGCAGCACCCACTTTGGCGATGCAGCTGGCGGCAGCGATGCAGCTGACGGTGGCATCTCCCTTGACCACTGCGCGACCCGGGACAGGCAGGTCCTTTGGCAACCTGCAACAACCGGGAAGAGGAGTGTGTGTGTGTGTGTGTGAAGGGGGGGGAAGTGGGGAGGGGGCGGGGGGATGACAGCAAGAGGGCAAGAGGGAGATTCTGTGCAAGGGCGGGAAGCAAGTAAACGCCAAAATGCCTCCAACTGCGACTCCTTCCATGGCCCAGCAATTGATTCATCATTGATGAGACGCCCGATGTTGTTCAAGTGCTTAGGTAGGCAGGTAGGTAGGGTTACAGCGGGAAGGAGGAGGGCAACGGATGGGAACAGAGTACCCGTAGGTACGGGGGGAAGAAAGCGAGGAGGCCCGCATTAGGTCAACATGGTGTGCCACCAGCAGCGCCACCACAGCAGACCCCCCAACACACATCCACTTCAGACGTGTGTTCACCACAAACACCCGCCGCAGAAACCCAGGCTCACAGACACCCAGGCTCACACACACACCCAGGCTCACACCCAGGCTCACACACACCGGTTGCCATCCACCAACAGGAAGTCTAGCGCGGGAGACGGCGGTGGTGCTGAGGGGGGGTCGGCTGCAGCACTGCCAGCATCCTGCTGCTGCTGCTGCTGCTGCCCCTGTTGTTGTTTTTGTTGCAGCAGTTTGACGGCGGACTCCCTCATGGCTCCCAGGGCCGCCTGCGGTGGTTGGTGGCGGTGGTTCGCGGGCGATGAGACACCGGGAGTGCTGGAGAGGTGGGAAGTGCGATGTGTACGGCAATCCATGTGTGCCATTACGGGTGTAATGCTGTGGGATTTGGCTGGGTGAACGTTTCCACATATGATGTGTGAGGTATGTGTGGAGTGGATGTGGCAGTACGAAGTGCAGGGGGGAGAGTGTGTGTGTGTGTGCAGCTACGTGACGCTTATTTTCCATCCTGCCTCCTAGGCCATCCTGCCTCCTAGGCCATCCTGCCTCCTAGGTCTCCTCACGTGGGAGCGACATCAGGTGCTAAAACACACTGTGTCTGTACATGCAATCTTGCAATGCCGCTGAAGTCATACCCTCTACTACCCCCTAACCCACCTGCAGGATGTTGATGCGGTCAATCTCCTCGTGTTCCACCACCGACCTGTCGGGATGACGTATGTGTGTGTGTGCGTGTGCGTACGGCAGTGTGTGCGTGAAGATGAGGATAAGGAGCAGGGGAGGGGAATTCATGGGCATATAGAAACTGGGGGGGGCCAACCGACTGGTGCGACCCGGAACGGCAATGTCAGGGACGCAACACAGCCCACAGCGCCGAAACCATTAACACTAAGAACACCCCTTTTCCCCTACATACATACACACCCCTCCGGGAGAAACCGCACCGCACAATAATCAATAATATCGCAATCAGCCCCCCTGCAGCAGTCTGCACTCACACGGCCCACTTGACCCGCGGGTCGGTTGTAAGCTGCTCGTACACCGCCTCCCGCTCCTCCTCGCTCATGGCCTTGCTGTCATTGAGTCCCGGAGGGGGCTGCCAGGGAGCATCCCCCTCCGCCCCCACCCCCATCAGACCGGGGTCGCTGCGCGGCGGCAGCACCACCACGGCCGCCACCACGGGACCCGCCAGAGGGCCCCGACCCGCCTCATCTGCGCCGCCCACTGCCAGGTAGCCCTGAGCCTGTGGGGGGGCGGGCGGGGGAAAGACGAACCACAAACGAGTGAATCTGGGCGGGCGGGGGAAGGGGGGGAGAAGGCGGACCAGTGAACGAGTGAAGCTGCTGGGGGAAGGGGGGGAGAAGGCGGACCAGTGAACGAGTGAAGCTGATGTCAAGAGGGATATAGACTCTGATACGCCAGAAGTAGTAAAGGGGAGAGGACCCGGGAAGTGGGGTGCACGTTAGCGGCGTAGTTGGTAAGGATGATCATGAGGTTGACGACGTGTGTGCGAATTGTGATACAAGATGGGGGCCCCACTATCCTCCAGGAGTTACCATTTTACCGTTACCATTTTACCGTTACCGTTACAACTGCCCCCAGAGGCCTCCCAGACACATACCGACAGACTCCGAAGGCCTTGACTCTCCCAGACCTCCACCCCCCTCCCACACGCGCAGCCCCGGGAGGTGAGGTCGGGTCATATCTCTCCCTCCGAGGAGGGGCGAGCACTGGGACGTGGGGGAAAGGTGGACTAGGTGGAGGAGGTGGACTAGGTGGAGGAGGTGGAGCGACCGGTATAGGGCCCCACTCACCCGCAACTGGGTCTCCATGTCTTGGGTGGGACCGGACCGCGAGTTGGCGGCCTTACCATTGGCGGCTTTACCGGCGGACTTGGAGCCACCGGCGCCGTTGCGGGGCCGCTTGGTGGCTGCAGCTGCAGCTGCTGGGGCTGGGGCTGGAGCGGCGGCTGGTGCGTTGCCTCGGGGCTTTGTTGGGAGTAGCCGGGGGGGGGGGGGGACGACAGAAGGGGTTGGAACGGAAGGTGGGTTGAAGGACGGGGTTTGCTGAGGTGGGGGTCGCAAAATAAACCAGGAACAGAAGCCTGGGAAGGAGGAGGAGGAACGTGGAGAAGGCGCGAGAAGACTTAAGCCTTGTAATGAAATACACACACACATACACACACGCGCGTCATCCCTGACACGGCCCCCGCTCCCACCCGAAGCAGGCAGGGCACGGCCGACCCTCGGTACGTGATGTTGACGTGGGGGCCATCCAACCCAACCCAACCCAACCCAGTCCTATTCCAGTCTCGCCGGGGTTTGCGCTTGGTCACCGCGTTCGTCTATTCGTTCGTTCCTTCGTTCGACCACGACTTGGGTAACTAGGATAACTAGGATAACCTCAAAAGGTGTGGCGGTGCGGAGGGGTCCTGCTCCTCTGTGGCCTCCTCCGTCCCTCCGCTCGCTTCCTGAAACCCAACCCCGGGCTAACCCCGGGCAGCACATCAACACACGAGCTCCAACATGTCAAGCAACCAAGCGTGGAAGGGTCGCGTCATTCACACATCTACATACACCTCCCTCTCGTTCAGCACTACCTTCTCGCCGTTCAGTTCATGAAACCTTACATAAACACCGTTGTACGCACACATACATATATGCATACATACATACATACATACATACATACATACATACGCACATGCAGTACCTACCCGCTTCGCGGGTAACTCCTTTCCCTCCTCCGTCCTTTTGCTCCTCTCCTCCTCCTCCTCCTGGCCCTCGTCCTCCTCCTTGCCCTCCTGGACGAGGTTCACGCCGCCATGGTTACCGCCTTTTTCAACATCATCCACCTCCATGTTCCCCTCCGGCTTAACGTTCTCTTTTGCCTGCTCCGACTCCGCTTCCACCTGCATGTTTGATTCCGCTGCCGCTTCCTTTTTCTGCTTCTTTTGCTGCTGCTTGTGCTCTTGGTCCTTCTTCACTGTCCCGGCCTGCCGCCGCCGGTTCTGCTTCTGCTGCTGGTTCTTCTCCCCCGGCGGTGGCTGCGGCGGCGGTTCCTCATCCCCCGGTTCGCTGCGGTTCCTCGCGGATCGCCGGGGACTGGGGACGGGAAGAGAGAGGGAGCGAGGAAAGGGTGAAGACCTGGAAAAGCTTTCTGGCGGCGGCGCACAGGGCTGCCGTGGTGGTTAGGCCGCCTGATGGCTCCGCTTAACTTGGTCTTTGTTTGCTTCGGAAAGCTCTATTTGATAATATCGCAGCAGAAGCAGATGCGGATGCAGATAACAGCATTAGCAGCAAAGGGGGCGTACCCAGGCAGCTCCAACAGTTGGGCATCTGGTGGCCCTCCGCCGTGATGGAGGGGTTTCGCGGGTTCTGCTTGTGGGTCATCTTGCGGCTTGGTTTCCTGAGCCAGACGGCGGCTACCGGTGCGTTGGCGCAGAGGGGAGCTCATGGATTGGCTGTGTCAACCGACGTCGCTGGCGATGTTGCTGATCACCGTGTGGGGGCCAGTTACTTGATGTTGTATAAGCGCAATGAGATCTGAACTCACACACGTTTAAGTATCTTGGCTGTATAGAAGGAGGATTCCTCAAGAAGCCCAAGGGCAAGAGCAGTATCTGGCAAGAAGCCTGGGGGATGCTAAATTATGGCCGCTTGTGCGCCGCCTGCCTAAGGAAAGGTAGGAAGATATAAGTTATGTTTGAAATACAATGGAGCAAGCTTTAAAGTCTCCGATCGCGACAGCTTTCAACTGCTGTTTCAATAAGTTCAAAAGTTAGGTTCGCCGCTTGTTCACGGTTTGCACTGCCATTGCAAGTTTATGACAATCAACGACTCTCCATAACGCGCCGCACTTCGCTCTTTGGTGTGCAGACCACTTTGGTGTTTCAAGCTGGTAGTGTCGTTCCGGCGTACGGTATTTCTTACGACTTGGGTAATACCAGTTGCCCATTTCCTGGACAAGTACCAAAGACTTTTATAACTTTTGTAATAGGTTGATTACCTGTTCTGGGTGCACTTTGTCGGGGCGACTGTGTGGAATGATGTCGCTCGCGAACCATGGGCTCACGGCTCGCCGGACAGACTATCTCGCGCGGCATCATCAGCCTCCATGGTCCGTCACCGCTCCGCGTCCGGTGATCGCAGCGGTCCGCGGTCGCAGCTCACGGCTACGGGTGGTGGCGGATGCATCGCACACTACTCAAGCAAGCTCCAAGATCCCTGGCACAAATAAAGTGGTCTGTATTGGAGAAGCCTTATTTGGTAAGTCACAAACTTGCTTGGTCAAACCCCTTCTACACTCCATATCGGTGTTTCCATGACGCATCTCACACCCCTACAGATGCACGCGAAGCAGTGGTACCGAGGGACCCACATACCTACAATTTCACGCTCAACTCCGACTCCCTAAATACGTTCAAGGCCACAGCAATTAGTACCCTTATCCTCATCATTCCAAGCCCACCATTTTCACATCACCTAATGCCATGACCATCTTCAGCTGCACCTCACCGCCTCGATCGCCCTTCTCTCGCTCGCTCTCCTTCCCAGATCTGATTGCCGACCAGAAGGGCCTCCCGCGGGACAAGGTCAAGTCCTGGACGCCGCACGCCGGTGGAGCACCCTGCAACGTAGCCACAGCCGCTGCGAGACTGGGCCTGGACGTCACCTTCGTGACTGCCCTAGGCGATGACGAGTGGGGGGAGAAGCTGCTGGCGGTCTGCCGGGGTGAGGTGGTGGTGGACGGGTGGTACCGGGGTACATGGTGCCACTTGAAACTCAGGTGCTATTGACGGAGGGCGGGGTTTCAGAGCGGGGCGGTGAAGCTTTAGGTGAGGGGTTCTGTGATACTCGTGGGTATGTCTTAGGACGACGTCGAAGGTCATGCGATTTGGGTCACCATAATTTGAGAAATTCGCGTCGCGCCGTACAGTTGTACGTTAAAGGCGGGATGTGTCTTGAATATTTTATTATTGTTGCGTGATGTTACGGTGCTTGGATGGGATCGGGTGGGGTAAGACGAACCTTTGGTAAATGGAGCAGTGATGGGGTGGGGTGGGGGATATGGGTTTGTGCGGGGAGCGGGGACAGCGCTGGAAACAAGACACTTGAGTGCGGGGTGTGCTTATGTCTGACTCTGAATACGGATCACAGCCAGGTAATGACGTCGAAGCACGGGAAACTGCGCGGTTTTGCTTAGCTAGTGCTGCTTTTTGAGAAACTGAACCTCTCGGTCATCGGGCAGTACGTGTTCGTTGGTTTTCCTCCTCAGGAGCCCTCCCTTCCCTGTCCCGACTCCCTCCCGTCCTCGCGATTCTCAGATCGTGGTGTACAGCTCCACGCTGTCCAGCGACCCGCGGGTCGCCCCACGCGGGATGTGTACGTGGTTCGTGACTCCACCGGCGACCGGGAGTTTGCGGGTTTCGGACTGCCGGGCACCGGGGAGGGGTATGCGGACGCCTTCATCGACCCGGAGGGGTTACCGCTTGGGGAGCTGCGGGTGAGAGGTTGGGGGGGGGAGAAGGGGGGTTGGGAGAAAGGGGGAGAGGGGAAAGACAAACCACTAGGGAGCAAAGCTGATGCTGCAGGGGGAGAGGGGGGAAAGAAGGGGAGGAGGAGGTGTGGTATCATTATCAGGGAGAAAACACCAAAACAGACAACTGCGGGCTCGTGCAGGCCACTAACTGCTGGAGGGTCAAAAGCTCCGGGTGGGGAGAGCCCAAGGGGCTGCTGGGTGGGTGGGTGGGTGGGTGGGTTGCGGGTTTTTACTAAACTGCAATGGCGGCCTGTCCATCTCCCTCGCTTGCATGTCACTCCACGTCCTGTGGCACGCCTCAACGCACCGTCAGCCGGGTGCCGTACTGGTGACGGGGACGCTGGGTCTGTCGTACCCCGTCACGGCGGCGGCTCTACGGCGTGCTGTGGCGGCGGCCCGCGAGGCGGGGGCCACCGTACTGATTGACGTCAACTGGCGGCCCGTGTTCTGGAATGATCTTCCGGCGGCCAAGAAGACCATTTTAGAATACCTCCAGGTGGGGTGTGTGTGGGGTGGGGTGGGGGGTGGGGGGGCAGGGGGCCCTTGGGGGGTTGGAGGTCCCACAGGCTGGCTATGTATGTGGGGAGTGTGGGCAGGTGGGGGAGCGATTGGGTTGATGTCATTGGACTTCCGCACCGATTTACCCTTGTGCCGCTTACACGTCATGAATGCGCCCTGACCCAACCAATCCCAACCGCTCCCAACCGTTCCGACCATTCCCAACCACCTATCGTCCGGCCCTAGCACTGCTACCGCCACCCACTCCACACTATCCACACCTGCCAACCGCCACTCCGCCGAGTTTTCGATAAACTGCCGACGCAGTTTCGTTACTTTGTACGTCAGTCAGCAGTTGAGTTCTTTGCTTTTCGCAGATCCCCCCGCCCCGCCCGCCACCCGAAGAGTTCTCTCTTCCCGGGTGATACCCTCTACATGCCCCACATATACACACACATATATATACATATATATATATATTAATACATATGTATTGATGTATATTGATATATAGACATGGCCCCCGCCCGCTCACCCACTCGTACATCCGTACGGTTCCTTAGTCTGCTGACGTCATCAAGCTTAGTGATGCTGATTTAGAGGCGCTGTGTGACATCAAACTGGCGCTGGCCCTCATAAACCCGTGTGCGGTGAGTGAGTGAGTGTGTGTATGTGTGTGTATGTGTGTATGTGTGTGGCGCGTGGAGATGAGAGGAGGGGTTAAGGGGTTTTCGGTGGGACCGTGCGTGCATGTATGTATGTATGTATATATGTATGCATGCGCGTGTACATGTGTATGCGTGTTTTAAGCTTGGAAGCCCGGAGCTCCTGGACCCCATAACAACACAACACATGAAGCGCCATGTACCCACGGCAAGCGACAAGCTAGCCCGGTGTCGTGGTCGCGTGTACGACACAATTTCAAATAAACTTGCCTTGCAGTAGTGCGCCTGTTAGGGGGCGACCAGTTGTCATGCAGGAAGGGGGGGCTGCAGCGTGGGGGGGGCTGCAGGGGGGGTGTCCTTTCTTTCAGGTCCTTTGAAAAGGCAGTTGGCAGTTGATGCTTTGCATTTTTGGTCCGTGTAACCTCCCCCATACACGCACAATCCTCCCCTTTCAATACACACATACACACATTCAAATACGCATACATACACATGCAGGTCGCAGAACGGTTTCCCAACGCCCGGGGTGTGCTGGTGACTGCGGGCCCGGAGGGGGCGTCGTACTGCTTTCGGAGCCCCAGTAAGGGGGAACACAGCGGGGTGGTGCCGGCGTTTGAGGTGAGGATGCCTGTATGTATCTATGCATGTATGTATGTATGTATGGCCGTGTATAAGTGCTTTTGCTGCTCACGAACTAGATCGCGGAAAAGTGAATGTACGGGTGTACGGCGTCTCCGGAGCAGCTCTCGTTCAGTTCACCACACCTTTGCTACACCTCGTGCTGATGCCTGGCGGCGAGGTGGTGATGTGCGGATGGATGGCGCTCTCTCAGGGGCCCGCTTGACAGGTACATGCGTGTGAGTGTGTGTGTTTTGTTGCCGGGGCCCCCCGCTTGTACCCGCAGGTGGGTGTTACGGACACGACGGGCGCCGGGGACGCTTTCACTGCAGGGTTCATCGTCAAGATGGCGCAGGTGGGGTGAGGGAGAGGGTGAGGGAGGGGTGAGGTATGGTTAGTAGTCATTGGGGGGAGACCTGGTATGCGACAAAGGCAAAGGAATGACTGCCGACGTCCTGAAGGGCAGGGATGGGCGGGGCGGGGCTGGTGGGGGAGGGGGGGGGCGGGGTCGAGGGAAGAAACGGGTGTACTGGTTGTTGTGGTGGTATGTGTGTGTGGGGGGGGGCGTAGACGGTGGTTAGGATCTACCGGAGTCGTATGAATGGCTGGCGATGTGCAATACGCTTGCAGTACCCGCCGTCTTAACTTACGCTACTCCCCCACGCCTTATACACACGCACACATACACACGCATTCTTAAACCTCCAACTCACCCGCCCCCACACCACCTCACACACCCGCCCCCAGGCTGGCGGTCTGGGCGCACTGTCCGCCAACCCGCAGCTGCTCAAGGTGAGTATGTGCACGGTAGGTGCCGTACACGTCACGATTCGGTGCTAGATTCACGAAAATGACAGTGTTAGTGGCAAAATCCAGATTTAGTGCGCGTATGTATGTGTGTGTGTTAAATGAACTGAGCCACGAGAATAACCCCCCTCCTCCTCCCCTCCCCCCGGGTGCTTCAGGAGGCGGTTGTGTTCGCCAGCGCCGCGGGGGCAAGTACGTGCACCCGCTCCGGAGCCATAGAGGGACAACCTACCTTGGAGCTCGTACAAGATCTGTACGACACAAGCAAGAAGTGATACAACTTTTGGTAGAGTTCTTTTTTTACACACTCCCGTCCCACTCCGTCCCCGTCATATAACCCTTGGCTGCCAAAAGAACCGCCGATACGGAGAGAGGATCCTCGGGAAGGAGTCCGCGGGGACAGCAGGGGAGGGTTGCTGACGTTCTGTGTGTATGTATATATGTATGTATGAATGAATTGGAAGGTGGTGGTGGTCTCGCGCAGAGCGAGACGATTTCCAGGACGAGGAGTCCTTTTCGCGGCCATCGAAGGGGGCTGTTGGGAGAAAGCTCCGGGGGGGGGGGTGGATGGAGGAATTGAATCGGATGAGGAGGGAACGAGGCTGAATGTCAAGGAGACTGTACGGAGGGGGAGGAAGGGGAGGGGGAGGGGGAGGGGGTGTTCGCGCGCGCACGGGTCTCACAGTCTAGAGGGATGCAGTGCGGGCATCCTTATGGATGAGGGAGGAGGGAGGGGGGGGAGGTCCTTGGGCTGTTCTGGGGGAGGGGGCGAGGTGGTGGTGCCTTTGTCTCCCTTCCCGTGATGGAGCGGTTCTGGAGGTCCTCAGGCTGGATTTGTGGTTAAGGAAGAGGAAGGGGGGAGCGGGGCGGAAGGGGAGCGGCAGCTGGAGGTCAGGTCGGCTTGGTCAGCTGCCGCGTCGGCGGTATTGAAGAGTGTAACTGTTGTTGTTGTTGTTGGTGGTGGTGGTGGTGGTGGTGGTGGTGGTGTACCTGCACCTAACAAAGCCAAGGTACCAACCGGAGGCTGCTGCTGCGTTTTCTGTTCTGTTTTCAGCCGGGTTGGGTTGGCGGGTGTCTCTCAGCGCGGCGGCTGTCGTGTCCCAGACATTTCGCGGGAGCTGCTGCCGTATCAGTGTACGTATGTGTGTATGTGCGTGCTTTGAAGAGCGTGGATAGCAAGCAAGCATGTGGTGGTGGTGGTGTTCTCAAATTCTACACACATCCGACCGCACACCATCACGACCGCGCAGGAGGTGTACGGGTCCCACAGTTCAAGAGATGGTTCATGTGGCTAGTGGTGCTTGCTCATCAAAACACGAAAGAAAAGCTAGTGGCGCGGCATGCGGCATGAAGCGGGATCCCCCGTGTACACGAGGTTTTGACCGCGTAACGCCTACATGTTACCATATGTAACACAGCAAAGGCGTAACCCGGGATGCTCAGATTGGCATTTGCGTCGTTACATTGCCCCCCACTTAGCAATGGACGTCCTCGGCCATTATTTCGAGCACAGGAGCCATCCCACCTCGCGCCAGTGCGCTGGTATATCCATTACACCATGAAATCGCCAATTTGCGACTTGCTGGTTGCCAGAATCGAACCGCCGACCCGAAGTTTATTTCGGTATTCGTGCGGTCCCGTCTCGATACCATTGTAACACAGCAAAGGCGTAACCCGGGATGCTCAGATTGGCATTTGCGTCGTTACACCATATATATGCCTTACGTGTGATGTATAAATTTACAAATATGTGTATATATGTATACATATATAATTAATATGATACATATATTCATATATATTTATACATATGTACATATACAAAAATTATATTAAAAACATTCCTGATACTTCTACGATTCTTCTCCTTTCGCGTTAGACTTTGCATTGGACTGGCCCCCCCCTTCTTTCGTCTGCTCTATGCGGGACCAAGCTGTTCACGTAGGTTAGTACCATCCCGCCACAGCTGTCGTTGCGATGTACAGGGTACAGTATGTATACACACGTATCTCTTATGATGAACACATAGCAGCTGGTGACCGAGCCCATACACGAGCCACCAAAGCACCACCTCGTGGACAACATGCACAAAACCAAGCAAACAAGCAAAAACCCCCCCAACCCCCCCACTAGAGGATTTGGTGAGCCCGTCCGTCCTGGGGTGCGTGCTTCCCCCTGACAAGATCGGCATTGTTTAGGCCGCGTCTACTTAAGAGGGTGGGGCCCCGGCCGTACAGAAGCCTGCTTGTGTGTCTCTGTGCGTGTGAGTGTCTGTGTGTGTCTGTGTGTGTATGTGTTTGTATGTGTGCGTGTGTGTGTGTGTCTGTGTGTGTGAGTGATGGCACATGACAGCCCTTTGTGATCCCGATAGTTTGTTAGATGAGTCAGCTACATTGCAAGCCGAGTAGCCGACATCCACAATTCCGCTGGCAAGATAGTACGCCGACATGCTCCCTAGCTGTCCCGCTTCGTTCCACAAATGTGGATTTGCCCAAATCTATGCGTTGCAGCTATGGAGCGCTCAATTAATATTTTTCTCCTGTGACAGCCGGATGTGCTGTGCACCGAGATCCCAGCCCTAGCACGCACCCTAACTACCGTAACCCCAGGTATACTTGCAACCTTAAAGCCCCCCCAATTTAAACTGTCACCGCCTTGCTGATTTGTTACCAATAGCTTTTCGGTGCTGCGGCTTTCTTTGCGAATCCGGACGAAATCCTGCTGCTAGCCAGCTGACTTCGTTATAGCTTAAATTCGCAACGGCTCGTCTATCTGCATCACCACACGTTTTGAAAAATATACATGACGTGACGATTCTTGCGCACAGATTTTTTCTGCTGCTTTCGGTACACATTTCGGTACACAAGTGGACCAACGTTAAGGCTTTGCTTCGGGCGACAGGCTTAGCGTCCCAAACCTTCCCTCGGCGAGCCTTATTAACTCCTGCGCCAACCTGCGGCGGCCGCATCCAGGTCCTCCCTCCCCCCTTTCGGCCCCCTCCCCCTCCTCCTCGCCTTCTTCTCCTTACAGAACTTAGCCGTTTCCTGAAAAGCTTCTGAACGTCTTTCCCCCCGTCCCCTGGAGCAGGCGGGGGAGGAGGGGGGTTAGAGGAACAGAAATCTCTGGCATCTCTCTCTGAAATCCTAGGGTTTTCTCCCAATCTCTCCCAGCGTCGCAAACCCACCACCATCACCCCCGTCCATCCCCCACCGCACTTCCCTGCCTCCACAGAACTAGACAGCTTTGCAAAGCTGGAGACAGGGCACACACACCGTCGCACCTACCCCTCCATAATAACACATCGCAACCCCCCATCCCCCACAAACATCCCTTCATCATGTCCGAGGCGGAAGCAGTCCCACAACCTGCATCGGTGTGTCCATTGTCTGTTCAACTGATCCGCGCGGGTAGGAATCCGGAAAATAAATACCTCTGGTAAACATCTAGCAGACATTTAAAACAAACATCTCGTAAGTCTATCTGGTAAAATGATCTTGGTAAGTAATACTTCTTGGTTAGGGCGACCGTAAAATTTAATGAATAGTAATTTCAATATCGCACAAGGGCGCTGTCCGTTCGCCAGTCAAATGCCCCAGCCTTGTGCGCTCGGAAGGTCCCGGCAAAAGCAGCGCTGGGACCCGGCCGCGCCACGCCGTTACCGACGCTTCGCGAACCAGGTGTCGACGGGGCACTACTGCCGCCGCCACAGCTACTGCGGTGGCTGCACGCCGACAACGCCCGCAATCCGGCAGCGGCGGCGGCGGCGGCGGCACTGGCCGGCGGCGATCCCAGTTGTAACGCCGACGCCGCCGTCGCCCGTGCTCGTGCCGTACCGCGTTCGCACGCGGCCACAATCGCCGCTGCGTCTGACTGGCTGCCGCCAAGGACGCTGCCGCGGCCGCCGGCGACTCCGAATCGGTCGCTAGGTTGCGGTGTGACGAGGGGGTCGACGAAGATACGATATGAAGAGCGGCGGGCGCCGCCGACGGAGGTGGGCGGTGTGTACGACCCAGGTCCAAGATGGGCGGTGTCATCGGGGCCGCGGAGGGCGGCGAGACGCGAGTAGCGGAGGTCGGAGGTTCGCTCCAGAGGAAGTGACGTCAGCCGGGGCTGCGGGGCACCGAGTACCGGCAGCGGGGGGAGACAACGTGCGCGAAGGGCCACAAACGCAAGCGGTCAGGAAGACGATGATGGAAGGGAAGGGATGCGGCGCGAACAAATACACGGATGTAAATGCTTGCTGAAGGGGACAGGCGCTGGAAGGAGGGAGGGAAGGACATACAAGCAGACGAACGGGCGGGGCACGTGGATCAAACCAGATCAAGTCCTCCCTCCCCAACCCCCAAAGAACCCAAAACCCCTGGCCCCCGTCGACCGTGCCTTCAAATGGAAAGCAAAATCCGTACAGTCAAAACCCACACGCACACTCCAAACCGACACGCACACGTGCGCACACGGACCTCTTTGCTGGCGAACACCGCCTTATGCGGGTTTCGGAGCTGCGCCCTCAACGACACCTCCAACGGTCTGCTGGCAACGTCAGTCTGCAGATCGGAGCTGAACGGCGCATCGGCGGCAGCTGCGCCTGCACCCGCGCCGCCGCCGGTGCCCGCACCTGCCACCACCGCCGCAATCACGCGCGCGTGGTTGAGTCGCCACTGCGATGCGTCGGGGCGCTTGTCCGAAATGGTATCCCAAGCCGGGGCATGATCTGGGCTTGGCTGCGGTGGTGCAGCGTGGCGGGTTTGTGGCATGCCGGCGTGTGGGGGAGAAGGGGAAAAGGAAAGGGAAATTGTTGTATCACGGCTACAAATACCACCACGGGAGAGCGTGTGTGTGAGTGTGCGGGTGATGTGGGGTGTGCGGACAGGTGTATAGGGGCCGGGCGGGACAATGTGGAGTGAGTGGTTAATGGGGTATTCGTGAGTTCCGGATAACACCAATAAACACAGACGCGCACATGTGCACACACACAGATATATACACGCACGCACGCACGCACGCACACTCAACAGTGAAGTTGAGGAAAACCTGCCCATGTTGCAAACCCGAGAGACTGCGGCCAGAGCACCCGAGGCTGCTTGCCTCCGGGCACCTTCCCCTTGGATCTCCCCCTTCCCCCCTTTCCCAGCCCCCCGGGTGGTTTTACCCCCCCTTTCCCCCCCAAAAAACACACCACGAAGTCGGGGGAGATGTAGACCGCGTCAGGGCCCCAGGGTAGCACCCACTGTGCACTGCCGGGGCGCCTTGGCGCCTTGAAGGGCGCTGAGGGGCGGTAAGGGTCCCGCTGGGGGGATGCGGAGGACGTGTGGGAGTCCAGGGCCATCGGGCCCACACCGGGTACGGCACGTTCGATGTCGTACGCTCCGGGTCCCACGTGGTCGTTGTGCGGCTCTTTGAGGTGTTCGTACCGGGTGTCATTGGCGACGAGGCTGCGTGCGGTGGCGGATTTGGGCCGGCCGGCGCGCATCGTGCCGCAGGTGTTTATGGATTTGGCCATTTCTGCGGCGAGGCTGATGGAGAGATTGCCGACGCCGGTGCTGGAGAAGTCATAGCGGGTGTGCGTGTTGGTGTTGGCTGGGCTGATCTGACCGCGAGCCTCTAAAAGCTGGGCATCATAGCCGTTAAGGAAGTTGGGCGTTTTGATTTTGCCATCGTAGGCAAAGCGGACGTTGTTGGGATGGTAGGTGATAGTCTGTGGGATCCAGGTCACGAGAGTGGAAGGAAGGGAGGGAAGGGGTTTGATTTGGAAAGAAGGGCTGGTTGGGGAGCCGCGAGGCGCCATCGGCGATGGGTTGCTGATGTGATGATGGCCACGCTGAGTTATGGAGAGTTATGGTGGTGCAACATGATTAAGCTTTGGTAGCGAATACATTATAAAGGCTTTTGTGTCCTGGTTTGCAGGCAAACTAAGAAGGAGACGTTACTCACAGGTGTATGCCGCGGACTGCGGTCCCTCCTGGCCTTATCCTGGTCTGGGCTAGGTTCTCTGTTCCACGTGCGAACCATTGTAGTATCTTGTGGACGGACGGCAATAAGTGACCTTACAGTACTTAGGGTGTTATCGAAGGATGCGCTTAGCGTGTCTGAGCTGTTTACGACGTGCCAGTAATGCACTCAAAAGTATATCCAAATCAATCCATTCACGTTAACATCTGGTAGAAGCTGTACATCAAACGAGCCCCGCAAGCAGAGAAGCTGTTGTTTGCCTTGAGACGCCGTACACGGTACCTCCCAAAGTAAACTCAGGGTAAACTTACAAGCCGTCGATAAATGTACAACATCATCATGTCTCTAACGTTGGTTTATACGTATTTATTTTCCTGTGATGCTTACATCCGCGCTTACGTGTCTGCGTCCTTAATAAGCTTCCATTTTGTTACCTTGTTTTGCGGCTGAGGTTTTATTAGTGAAATTTCTTAAGATTAATAAAGATTATCAGTACTTCTTACAGATACAGATGATGCGAGCCTTTGTGCCGGGCCCACCTGGCGGCCGGTTGATTGTTCCCGAGACCTGGTAAGGGAGTCAAAACTAGCCAATTTTACACCATTACAACAGATGCTCTCCATCAATGCACACTACTCTCTTTCAATCAGCCGTGCCTGCATCCTGCCACTGGCATCGCCACCCAGCGGACGAAGCCACCATGCTTAGGCCTGCATCATATCGCCTGGCTGCACAGCGACGCGCCCGTGCCACTTCTGAGGCAGTCAACGCTGGGGCGCTGCTAAACCGCTTCCCGGCCGCCGCCACAGTCGGCGTCCCCGCAGCATCGCAACAACCATCAGGACCGAAGCCACCGCGCCAAGAAGCCGCAGCAGCTGGTGCTGAGACCGCAGCTACTATCGACGACGACGGCCACCGCTCTGATGGGCCTTCCGTGGCCACCGGCCGAAGCACCTCGGGCGGCAATGGGAGGCCCTCCGAAACCACCGCCAGCTTCGCGCCCCTCAGCCCGCACCGTCAGCGCCACTCCGCACGTCATGATAAAGTCCGGCAGTCGCAGCCCCCCGGCCGCCAACAGCGGCCTCAACAGCCCCAGACGCAGCGGCAGGAACAGCATCAGCGGCGGGAGACGGACGCACCGCTGCGACAGCAAATACAGCCGCCGCCGCCGCCGACGACGACGATGACGACGGCGGTACTCGCACCCGACTCAACAATACCCGGCTCGGACATAGTCGTACAGCCGTCAGGCCACGGTCAGTTCGCCGTACGGCGCTGGAAATGCCGTACACCGAGGCAGCTGACGGCTGCGCTGTACGGCTGTACCTCGTTATCGAGTCTGCTCGCCCAGCTGAAGGTTTGCGGCCCGCTCAATGCCGTACAGCTTTGTGCTTCTTTGGCTGCTGCGGAGCAGATTGCCGCCAGGGAGGGCGGCGGCGCCGGCGGCAGCTTTGGTTATACGGCCGTCGCTGCTGACGCCGGCCTGGGGCCAGGGTGGCGGCGGCGGCAGCTGCCCAGCGCGCCGCCGATGGGATTGCTAGCACCCCCATGCCGGGCATTGACGCCCGCAGAGTCGGCGGCGCTTGCTACCGTACTGGTGGCGCATTCGGAGGTGCTGGCGGACGCGGACCCGCCGGAGCTGGCGGCGACGCTGTGGGCGGCAGCGCGGCTGCGGCTACAGCTCCCGCCGGCGGCGTTGGAGCCGGCGCTGGAGGCCATCTGGATGTGGGATCCCGCCGACCCAACCGCCAACCGTCAACTGCAGGATGATCCGTCGTTGGCGCAACGGCCAAGCGCCGCCGGACGGCGCCCCATCACACCGGCGCAGCCGCCGCCGCCGTCACGGCAGCGGCAGCGGCGGCGTGACGCCATGGGTTCCTGGGAAGTGTGCCTGTTGCTGTACGCGGTTTCGGTGCTATGGCCGGAGTATGTACGGCAAAATGCCGGCGGCTTTTTGGAGGCATTGGACAGTTACGAATCAGGACCGGCGTCGACGTCGGGACCTGGGCCACGGCGGGGCTCCGTACAGCAGCACGGCGGCGGCCGGCGGCACGGCAGCAGCGGTGGTGGCGGCGGCTTGAGCTGCGAGCAGGTCGTGGGGGTAGTGGCGGCGCTGGCTCGCGCTGACGTCGCCCTCGACGAGGTCGAGGAGGAGTTTTTGCTGCTGGTGGGTTATTGCCTCAGGCAGTCATGAGTGCAGAAATAATAAGAGTAAAACCAAGTTTGTTTGTTTACGGGGCCCTAAAACCTAGGAGGGGATTATAAACAAGGACGACGATAACCTTTTGCCTCTCCTATTGTTCTCCGATCTTGGCAGCCAACGCATAGTGCTTTATTATTCGAATTGAAATTTCTATAAATACATTTTGGGTGTCCTTCATCTTCAGCCGGCCCGCCGCCGCTTCCTTCTTGTCCGTCCTTCTGTCCCGGTCTCGCCTTCCATCCTACTGCTGGTAGTCTTAACTACATTTCAATCAAAAGTTCATTCTTCTAGACGCTTCTTTCCCTTCTTTTTAATTCTTGTACAGTCACACGTACAGACACACGTACAGACACACCGCCACAACCCCTTTCCTGGCCGCCCTGCAGGCGGTCTCCTCCCGTCTATCCGCCTTCTCCCTGCCGCACCTCACCGCCCTGCTCTCCGCCGCCCAACACTGGGCCCCCCTGCGCACCGCCCTGCACGGCGACCTGCTGGCGGCGCTGCTCGCACGACTAGACCGCCATCACGTACGATTCATGGAAGCTAGAAAGGAAAGGCGGGAAGCGGAGGAGCGACGGCGGCGGCAGCCGCCGCCGCCGCCGGAAGGTCCGCCGCCGCCGCCAGCTGCCGCCGCCGCCGCTGGAAGCGTCGTCGTCGACGACTCTTCCGCCGTGTCACGTGCTCTGACGGTCGCCCTCCGCAGCTGTGTTGACCCCTCCACAGGTCGGCCGCTTCCGAGCCGTGTGCTCAGTGCCCTCATGCGGCAGTTGCGGCTGCGCGCCGTGGACTTCTCCTCGCGGGACGTGTGCGAGGCACTGGCGGCCATGGCGGCGCTGCGGGCCGCTCCCTCCCTGGACACGTCCCGGGTGGTGCGGTGGAAGGAGGGCTTGAGGGGGCTGCTGCGTCGCTGGATCCAGGTGGTACGGCAGGAGGCGATGGTTGCGGCGGCGACGGCGGCGATGGGGGAGAAGGTTGGCGATGAGGTGAGAATGTGTGTTCCCTGCAAGCCGGCTCTTGAGGTTGAATTTCGAGCTGGCGACTCAATTACTCTCCCTCTTTCTCTGTGTGTGCGTGTTTGCATGCGTGTATGTTTGTGTGTGTTTTGGTTTACTCTGGCTCCAAGGGTATGGGAAATTGGCCCGCTGGCCACTATTCCCGTCTGCCCTCCGCCACCACATGCAGGTTAGCGGAAGTACGGAAGAAAAAATCTCCGGTACGGCAGCGGCCGCCGCCGCCGCTGCCGCTGCGCGTACTTTCTCCACCAGTCTACACGCTGTGTCCCGACTAGGGGTGCGACTGCAGCGCGCAGAGTCCGAGGTGGCGGTAGCGGCGGCCGTAGCGCTGGTGCCGTACATGTCATCCTTGGTGGATTGCGTCATGGTGCTGACGGCGCTTGGGGAAGCGGTGGAACCGGAGGCGGAGGCGGCGGTGGGAGCGGAGGCGGCAGAGGGTCCGGACACGGAGGCGGCGGAGGCGGAGGTAGGGCCGGCAGCAAAGTGTGAGAATGAGGACGAGGAGCAACGTGGAAACATGGAAACGGCGTCCGCGGCGGCGTCCGCGGCGGCGGCGGCGGCGGAGGAGGAGGAGGAGGCCGGCGGCTGGCTGTGGCTGAAGGCCGACGGTGTACTGCGTCTCGACTCGCGGAGCCGCCGCGCGGCGAGGCTGGTCTTGGAGCGTGCCGCTGAGCTGATCCAGAAGCGGGCGGCAACTGTAAGCCGTGGAAGCGACGGCAGTGGTGGCGGCGGCGGCGGCGCTGCCTCCAACAGCGCAGGGGAGCTCGTGTGTCTGATCCGAGCGGCCGCTTCCCTGGGCGCCTGGCCGCCGGAGTGGTGGTGGCGGGCGTGGCGAGGGGCTGTGGTGGAGAGGCTGCCGCCCGCGCTGCTGCGGCCGCGGGCGGCGGTAACGGCGGCGGCGCCGCCGGCGCCGGCGTTGGCATCTTCGGCGTGCTTTAGCTTGACGGAAGCCGTAGACGTCTTGTATAGTTTGGCGCTGCTGACGCACCGGCGGCTGGCGTCAGCGCGTCGCCGCGGCTCTGTTTCCGCGGCATCAGCAGCGGCGACGGCGGGGTTGTTCCAAATGCCGTTACGGCGCTGGCGCTGGCAGCGGCGGCAGCGCCCATGGTTTGAAGCTTCCAGGTCCGCTGCCGCCGCAGCGGCCGCTGGCGGCGTCACGGTAACGGCGGCTCCTCTGGAGCCCGAGCTGCTGACGGCGCTGTTGGCGGTTGCGTGCCTGGGGGCGACGCGGCGACGGACGCGTTACCCCGCCACTATAGCAGCTGGCGGCGGCGCTGGCGGCGGCGGAGCCCCCCAGGAAATCGGCACCATGACGGTTTATTATCTATCCTGGGCGGTGGCGCGACTGCGGCTGTTCGCGCCGTACGAAGCGGCGTTGTGGTGTCCGCGGCTGGCGGCGGCGGCGCCACGCGCTCTGGCGCGCCTTACGCCTCGCAAGCAGGTGTTAATGCTACGTAGCCTCACGTGGGCTTACCGGGGGGCGGCGGCGGCGGCGGTGGCGGCCTCGGCCCCGCAGCGGCCCGTGGCGCCGCCGGTAGCGTCTCCGCTGCCTCCAATGCTCGCGGCGGCATGGCAGGCAGCCTTTGCCATGAACATGACTCAGGCACGTGGCCAGACACTGTCGTACGCCGCCGCCGCCATGGCGGCGGCGCGGATCTCCCCGCCAGCGCCCTGGCTGGCGCGGTTTCGGGGCCTGGTCCGACATCGGGTTTCGGAGCTGGGTATTCGAGAGATCGCGGCGCTTGTGACCGGACTGGGGCTCCATCGGCGCCAGCCGCCGCCACCGCCGCCGCCGCTGCAGCCGCCGCTAGATGTAAAGCTACTGCCGCCGCTACAGCCGGACGACAGTGCGGCGAGGTTGTGGCGGCGACCGTACTCGGCCAGTACGGACGAATGGAGCAGCGCCGCTGGTCTAGGGAGGGCATTAATGAGGGTGAGCGCGTCTTTAATCTCCAAACGACTGCGCGTTTCCTTCATTTCACGATTTCCTCCTAGAGTTTAAAAAACCTACATTTACAAGTTTTCTTTTGGCATTTGAGGTGTCGGAGGCGACGTGGGCATTTTTTTCCTCGGTACATGTTTTTATTATATATTGTGTGAGTTCATGGCTGAGGGTGTACGGATGTGCCGTGTCGTAACCCTCGCCACCGCGGCTTGTACCGCGTCCGCCGCCGCCGCCGCCGATGTGTCGTTGTGGGCCCCCTACAGGCACTCAATCGGAAGCTAGCCACAGCCGGCACCGCCGCCATTTCCTCACAATCACAATCGCAGCTAAGTGACGCTGATCGGCAGCTGGCGCGCCGACTGCGTTTCCTGCTAGCCCGAGGTGCAGCTGCTGGAGCGGGAGCTGGCGGCGAAAGGCGTTCAGTGTCGGTGGCGGGAGCGCCGTTGCCGTTGCCGGGGCAGCCGCCGCCGCCGCCGCCTGACGTCCGTCGGGAGGCAGTGATGGCGGCAGAGGCCGCGGATGGCGAAGCCCAGCTTGCCGGCGACACGAGGAGCAGCAGTAGCAGCAGCGGAAGTGGCGCCATCAGCTGTAGCAGCAGTAGCGACGGCAGTAGCAGCCGCTCGGGAGCTGTACGGCTGGCTCCCCGGCCCCTGTTTGTAATTCCCCGGGGTGGCAGGGAGGGACTAAGGGTGTTTCGGCTTCCATAGGGCGCCTGTCTGTCTGCCTGTCTGTAAGTACATTTGTAAGTACGTCTGTAAGTATGTCTCTTCATATGTCTGTCTGTCTGTAAGTACGTCTGTATGCCTGTCTGTAAGTATGTAAGTATGTCTATAAGTATGTCTGTATGTTGCACACTTGGTGTTCGTGAACCTGACGGTGGCGCAGGTGTCCTTTCCCGTCAGGTGGCTGCGGTGCGGGGCCGGGCTGTCCTGGATTTGAGGTTAGGGTGGGGGCATTACAGAGCTCTTAAGTTGGAGACAGATTTCCTGGTTCAGGTGTCTTGTCCTCTCAGTTGTGCGCGCTGTATGCGGCGGCGGTGGTGGTGGTGGTGGTGGTGATGGTGGTGGTGGTGATGGTGGTGGTGGTGGTGGTCAAATTACCTGTCTTGTGGCAGGGTAACGGTTACCATGGCTCGCAGGAGACGATAATGCGAAATCTTAGGAGAAGTGTACGGCAAGATTTTCGATGTTTTGCTGTTTTGGGGGATATGTAGGTTGCTCTTCTTTAACACCGGGCTGTACGGGTTCTCGGTGTTATGTATGGAACATGTAAATATAGATATGCGTGTATGATTATGTGACTGATAATGGCGCCTTAAATGGACTTGGTTGCGTCCATAACACAAGCCAAAGTAGTGCCGCTTAAAAAACAAAACAAGATGTATTTGTCCCCTACTGCTGAAACCGGACTGCGAAGCAAGCATCTCCTTCCTGGCGCGGCGTTCTGCACCTTTGCGGATAATAGTAGTAGATGTGTTCGCGGCTGTCTCTCGTCAGCGATTACAACATTATAAGTATATATAAGTATATATAATAGTCCCAACAGTAGTCTCCAACAGGGTTTATTTGCCAGCTGAAACACAAATTTCCTGATTCAGTGTTGTGTATTTATTTATCTGATAGGCAACTCTGCTTGGGCGAGAATGCATTCTCGCCGCCCCCGTGTTGGCGGGGAGGTGACTGGCGGGCATCATGTGGCGTCTCCCTCCGCTACCTCTACTGAGCGTGTGGACATATACGTTGAGGGGTGCATATGCGGGCGCATGCTGCTGCCTGCCTGCCTGCCTGCCTGCCTGCGAGCACGTGTGTGTGTACTTGAAACATAGCGCAACAGCGGCGTTCTGCAGCCGCCGCAGCACCTCCAATAACACCAGTAAGGCCACCCGGCACCCCCCGGCATATTTGAATGATTGCTCGGCGACTGCATACATGGTAAAACATGAACACACCTGCTAAAGGATGAGGTTCGCGTAATGTTTGGAATGCACGACTTATTCGGCCCTTAAGCCCCGCGAAGTAGGATTCCCTGTCGATTCGTAGATGCGAGATCAGGACGCGATATATCAGGTTGCGAAGTTGGGTTGTCTCTTGGTGCAGATGCAAAGAGCAAAAAGAGGAATGCTATACAGAAGTTTCATCTTTTATTTTTATTGTTATTTCAAGTACGGTTTATGTTGCGGACCTTGGTGGAACTCAGTTTTGGGGAACATGTGTTACTGCCCGGTGCGGTCTTGTTCGCCGGCGCTGTAACAAACATGACTATGCAGGGTAGAGTTTTTCACGTATTGCAAAAATGATGATGTCGCCGATGGCAAGATCGGCACTTGTCAATTAGTGTATGCCGAGTGAGGCCGAGTCGTCAGACCTGCCGACATGCCGAGTCGTACAACATCCGCGGAAAACTTGGAAGTGATCAAACCCTATTTGAATAATTTGTAATATTCGTATGTGTACGTGGCGCAGCCGCCCACCTGGGTGTACTGACACTGCGCTTTTGAATTGCACGCGTGGGTTCCAAATCCAGGAATTCCGCAGCCAGACGAATGACCGAGACTAATATTTAACCCCATTGCGCACTGCTAACCATCAGCGCATATTTTTGTAGATAGCAATAGATTCACCTTTAGGCCGCGGCGCGGTCTAAATCAATTTTTAGAGACGTGACTAATAGAGATTGATTTTTCACTATTGTATTTGTGACCATTATACAACACTACATGCATATTAGAAATAATATAGATTTTTTCAATTAGAAGGGAAGGCTGGTTTCTGCGCGGAGCTCAAGGTCAGTACCCTTGCCATGCTTGCTTGCGGGGGTTGCTCCCCAAGTCGCTAGCTTCAAACATCTTGTGCGCCATTTTGCGTGAGTGAAATTTAAAAAATCGTTCCTTGAACTCGATCACTTGGTTGATCAGTGGGTTACTCCTCAAGGCTCTTCAGATGCTCACATCCGCCATGTCCAACCCTGCCTCCCCGCAGCGATCCTGCAGTTTTGGTCCCTGGATTCAATTCTCAAGTATTTTTGTATAAATTAGCGAAGCTTGCGAGCTGCGGCTTTGGAAAATGGCGCTTCTGCAAGGACATGCCGATTTGCGTCTTGCACGCCTGCTCTCCCTTCCCGCGCTGCTGTTCCCTGTGATGACGCTATTGCTGGGAGCTTCGAGCCAAGTCACTTACAATGTTAATAAGCCCGGAGCTGTAACAGGTGAATCCGAGGCAGGCCGCTCTGAGAACCAAGCTACCTGCTGCAGCTGCATGCGTTGGCCTTCTGGCCTATTGATTAGTTGTTAGGAAACATAATATTACATAAGAGAGACAAAGCGAAGCAAAATATTGCAATTCATGCAGTGTTATGCGTTCTTCACGTACCCAATCGTTCATCAAACCAGAGACGCACTCACCTTCGGCACTCTCGACAGGCAGCCTCGGTTTGCTAACGTAGTCATCATGTTCTCTTCGTCATTCCTCCTTTAACATCCCCATGAATTTTCCGACCCCGGATTCCAAACATTCCTTCCTGGTTGTCTCTCCACCCTTCAGGAACAATCTCTTACCTCAGATTGGACGCGCATAATGGGTCGACGGAGCCCCACTTCTACCTGAGCCAGCAGCACCGCGGAAAGATCTTCCGGCTGGTGTTCTGCGGCGCGGTGTTGCCCGACGCTGTCCTAACCGACACCCTGGTAACTGTCAAGTTCAACAGAATCATTAACGGCGTCATGTACTCCTGCTCTACCCCGCTCGAGACAGCTGAGCAGCGGTTGCGGCGCCGGCAGCGGCGGATGCTGCTCGGTGACGCGATCACCACTCCCACTGCCCCCCGTATCTTGGTATACTTGCCCACGTTCTGCGGCTTCGCAGGACCAGCTGCCACCACACCGGAGGTAAGTGCGAGGGTGGGTGATATGGCGGGTTCGTGGATACGTGGGAGAGTGAATGCGTGGGTTCATGCGTGGATGAGTGGGTTCGTGGATGTCTCGCACTCGGTACAGAATTATTGAACCGGAGATTCGTTCTCCTTGTCCGGAGTTCCTCAGCTGCGTTAGGCGGCCAAAACGAAGCTGCGAAAATAGGTCGTCAGTCAACGCAAGGCGGTTTGCACCCCGATGTGCCGCCTTTCATGACTTTCATAATGCTTTTCTGGCCCTAACCCCTGCCAACCAACTTTTGCCAACTGTTTCCACCGCATTACAGCAAGTTGTCAATTTCTTCAATGCTGGCAGCGGCACCTACCCCAGCCGTTCCTTGGCGGGTTACTACAACACCTGCAGCTACGGCCAAGTCAATCTGCTTCCCGAGAACGTCAAGGTGCTAGACGGGGTTGAGGTACCCTGCAGCGGCGCCCTCAAGCCACCCTACCCCTTCGCCACAGGGCCCAGCTTCACAAGCCGCTCCTGCAATGAATTAGACAACATGCCTAAATGGCATTATTGGCTTGATGCCTGGGCCGCCGCAAATTACGGTGTTAACGCATCCTCCTACCACCACCGGGTCTTGATCCTTCCGCCGAACTTCTCCACGCTGGTCTCTGGTGAGGGTGCGGTTTTTGACACTGATACTGTATTTTTCCTGTCCGTTTCTCGTTCTTTTCCAATTCCTTTGCCTTTTTGTTTTTCTTTATTTGTCTTTTGTCATCCATTTCGTCCTGCCTCTCAAGTCTCTTTCCTCTTAGCTGTCTGCTGCTGCCGCCATCCCTCTGCTGTGACGTAGGTATGTATGTAGGTATGTAGGTATGTAGGTATAAGGGCTCACAACATCACAACAGGATGTTTGAGAATGCGCACCTGCCCCGCCTCTTGCCTTTCCTTGCCTGTCTTAGATTAACCACGCACGTGTGTAACTGTGTCCGGCCCCCTCTGGCTCCAGGCTGCGGCGGCTTTGCTGGTCTTGCCACATCGGGTCGGTGGACCACCGCCACCGCGCCGCCGCTCAACAACTGGGGCTCCGGTTTGCTGTGGTTGTCTGGTGAGCACTTTGGAAACTTGGAAGTCCTTTTTCACGAGATAAGTCACCATTACGGCCTGGCTCACGCGGACACTCCCACGGGCTGCGACCTGGGAGATCAGTGCGACCACACTTGCACCATGGGTGCAGTTGGAGGCCAGGGCATTCGCTGCTACAACGCCCCTCACAACTGGCAGGTGGGTGATACTTATTTAGTTATTTGAGTTATGAGTTATTTTGGGATCTCTGTTGGGTCGGTTGGGGCGTTTCAATAACGATTAGCTGCTGTGTGAGCGCCGGCCGGTCATCACGTGTTTCACTTTGGTTTTATCCCCCAAAAGTTTATCCCCCTTCTCACCCCTCCGAGATCAACACCTTCCATTTTAGTTTCCCTTTAGGGGGGTGACTTATTCCCCGCAGTGGTCCTAGGTGTTGATCCTTTCATGATAGTTGCGCCGATCTGTATCTGTAGCGAACGGTTGTACCGGGCGCAAGCTAATTCCGAACACATGGTGCACGCATGCACCACTCCATGCCTGAACACCGAACATGACGTGCCGATGATGCGTCATTCGAATATTGCAAACTTCTGGCCGGTCTGGCCGCTGGTTCGACGAATGAAGTGGCACCTGGCTAGCTGCCCCCCAGCATGGAGCTGTACCTGCCTGATAGAGCTGTTAGCCTACGTGGACTCCATGCATTCCATTAGACGCATTCCGTACCCCAACCATAAGCACACTGCCCTGCCACTTATACTTACTCTTAAACCCTAAGACCCCCCCTAACCCCCTCTCTGCCATCCCCATCATGTCAGGTCGGTTGGGGCAGGCCAGTACTACAGCTGGACGACTCCGGTCTGCCGTACGGCCAGTCAGCCTCCGTAAACATCCCGCCTCAGATGTCCGCCGTGCAAAGCTCGGTGATGGTGTCTGCGAGCGGCATGCCAGCAAACCAGCGCCTCTTCATCTCAGCGCGCATGAACGTCTACCCGTACGAGCTTCCGTGGTCCAAGAAATCAGACAACATACCTTACGTCCTGATGCACACGTACAACGGCACGGATAAATCCCCCAAGATCCAGACCGTGATAGTTGGCGAGATCCGGATCGGCAGTACGTGGCGTGATGCGGGAAGCGGCATCACGGTGCGCTTCGATTCCTGGAGCAACACCACAGGCGCCACTGTACGAATTTGTCGCCAAAAATCGTCCGTTGAAGCCAACTGCAACGATGGCTTGGATGAGGATTGTGACTTTCTGACGGATGCTGAGGACCCCGACTGCCCCATCCGCCCAAGCACAAGTGCCGCTCCACCTCCTCGGCCGCCGCCACCCCCGCCTCCGTCGGCTTTACCGCCGCCACCATCGCCCATTACCAGGCCGCCACCCCCGTCTCCCAGACGTCCATCTCCTCCGCCTTCGCCCAAGCCACCGCAGCCCAATTCCCCATCGCCGAGGGCGCCGGCCCCGCCGTCACCCCCACCGCCGTCACCCCCACCGCCCTCCCCATCACCTCCCAGGTCCCCACCGCCGCCGCCACCGCGACCGTCACCCCCACCGCCGTCACCCCCACCGCCGTCACCATTACCTCCCAGGTCCCCACCGCCGTCACCGCCACCGCCGTCACCCCCACCGCCCTCACCGCCACCGCCGTCACCCCCACCGCCCTCGCCATTACCTCCCAGGTCCCCATCGCCGCCGCCACCGCGACCGTCACCCAGCCCGCCGCCACCCCCACCGCCGTCACCCCCACCGCCGTCACCCTCGCCACCGCCTCCACCTCCTACCTCGACGAAGCAACTACAGCGGCCATCCTCCCCCAGCCCATCACCGCCGCCGCCGCCGCCACCAGTGCCACCTCTCTCCCCGCCGCCACGACGCCGACCACCACCCCCGCCACCGCCGCCGTCGCCGCAGCCGCCGCCGCCGTTTCCGGCTCCGTCATCGCCTTCCAGTCCTTCCAGACGATCAAAGAAGAGGTAAGCGCTCTGAACACTTTCTCCAATCCTCTCTCGTTCCTCTTCCCAGATTGTTGAGTTGTATAGTGGCCACCACTGTATAGTGGCCACCACTGCGCTGCACCTCGCATGCACCGTTTACATTTGGGGCTGTACTGACTAGCTAGCTAGCTAGCTACGACTTTACGTATCTTGTTGCTAAGTTGCTAAGGGTTTTCTCTTCATCCGCTGCTGCATTAGGGCAGTGAAAGGGTGGTGGGTGGGCCACCTGTCTGCCGCACCTCGTGCATGCAAGCTTACAAAGCGCACGAAGGTGGCCTACCTGGAGGAGCCTGGTAAAGGCTCCAAACCTCCTAACGACCTGCCTTTCCTGCTGCGTTGCTGCTTTCCTTGCTCGCATCAGCGCGGCAGCTCTGTTCGCACCTCCCCCCTGTTGTTACCTGGCATCACTTGCACCTCCCCGCTTGAGATTGACGATGTCCGAGCATATCCGAATCGCCAGCTTGACACGCGTTAAAATTCCGTTAGATAGTCCGGTTCTCAGATTCCGATGAACGAACGGACTGGCAATGATCTGAGGGTTACCCTGCTGCCCTGTCGTACAGGCCGCCGCCGCCGCCATGAGCACTTTCGTCGTACATAGTGCAGTTTGAGGAGAGGTACTAATGCTCGGTGGATATGAAGAGACTGTTGGGTATGAATAGAGGTTCACTGTACTTAAAATGTTTGCAGTGTCTGTCGGCGGGATGGGCGGGCGGGATGGGCGAGGTGCATGGTGTTTCGGAAACGAGGGCAGCAATCAGTGCGGGGCTTTTTGCGGGTTTTCTGTCCGTTAGTTGTACACTTTCAAATGGTTGGCACGTGGCCCGTTGGTCCTTGCAAAGCGATGATTCCTCTCTTTAGCTTAGAACCCCTAAGTTCCCCTAGATTAGCAGTGTTTATGTATAGCGAGAATTATACCTTAGTGACGAATTCATCGCAAACAAAGCATATTTTCATGCGTTCTATGCTTCGTGAACACTGGAAGGACTAGCGTAATGTAGCGATTGTACTGTCGTGCACATACGGCGACATTCTAATCAATTATAAATACCTATGTAGTTAACAATCCCTCCGACACTTGGATACGTCACATGGCGTGTACATTGTCGGTGCCGAATGCGTGCTGCGGCATTCCACATCTTTACTAGCCGCTAGTACTGTCGCTGCGACAGCATCAATTAATGGTTGAGAACGACTGATAGATTAGGGACTGGTAGATTAGGGACTGATAGATAGATAGGTATGAATCTTAGAATATAGATTCCTAGATAGCAGGAAGTAATGCCGACAAATTGCCATTGAAGCAAGCTGACAACGTACCGGACATTATGCCGTACATTTACGATACATACATCTTGGTACATGTACATAAATTTTGGGCAATCGTCGTTGATCAACAACATTGATCGCTGCGTGCGATAGGGCCGCCAGGCGGTGCGACGTTCTTTGTTCATTAGCCCGCTGCGGCCGACGGTGGAACTACTACTGTACTTCACTCGACTGAACTGAACTCTCGACACCCTACAATTATACCTGCGTAGTAGCTACAGATTGGCCTGTAGATTATTCCTTCCTAGAAATTAGAAATTGATTTTTTCAATATGATTCCATTGATTTATTGGTTATGGTGAGGGATATCCCAACGACGAATAGATAAAATACACGAACATGAAATAAAATGGTACATACATCAATGATTCTTTACGTGCTGGTTGAGGATTTGTTACTTTGGTGCCTAATTTCTTCAGTAGGGGTCTCCGTTGTGTGTGGGGGGGTTGACTTGGTTAAATTTGGTCCCGAGCGAGCGGCAGCAGCAGTGCTTGTTTAGGATGACGGCGGGTGCGGCAACAGTGCGTGTGTGCTGCTGACGGTTGCCTATTTAATGGACCCAATCCGTGTATGACTTTTGTGTGTATGTAATGAGAAGTTAAACCCGGATGATTTACATGTACATTACTCTGCCGGCTGAGTGCGGCGAGATGGAATGAGGACGGACGGCAGCTCCTGGGGGTGTGTGCCAGACGGAAGCGTCTAAAATCTGCGTTAACTTAGGGTTAACTCCACTATTCTTGCGAGTACTATTTCTTGGATGCGTTTGCCGCACGCATGCGCATTTTCATCGCTTTTTTGTGGCGGCAGGTTGCTTTTGATATGTTTGGTTACATTATTCAATTATGTGGGCGTCTGTCGAGCTGCTGCAGCTGTGGCGACGCTGCTTCGCTGCGAGCTCACGTATGCAGCCTAGTGTTGCAGATGAGTGTGTGTGCGAGGTATGTCTGCCGATTGCAAGTGGGTTTGCATACATACATACATACACACGTGGTGTCTGATGATGGCACCAATTAAGATGTAGTGTCAAAATAATGGAGGCTGCTGCAATTACGATATCACATACAGGTGTAGATGGTGGCGGAGGGAGTGAGGTTCCTCGCAACTATATGACACTGCTACCCACAGATATAAATTCAAAGGCTTGTAAAATTTTAAGCATCACACAATAACTCGCCCCTGCTGATGGATTTGAATTTCCCACGCGCACATACATGCCCTCGCTTTCGTAGATTGAAGGATTATTTCCCCGCCATATGAATCGATGCATCGATTTCCGGCCGCCGTGCGTGCTGCAAGCAAGTGATATACACAGCGGAGATACACGGTGACATGCATAGGTTGTATACCTAGGGAGGAGCGAGTATGCCCTTGCTGCGGCACTGATAGCCATATCGAGGATGAGAAGCACATTTTGCTGGACTGTCCGGTGTACGACAAAATCAGATCGGATATGGATTTCCCACGCTTCGAGCACATGAAGGACGAGCTATGAAGTGGGAACCTGAACGACTGGCAAGGATGCTGGAACGTATATGGTCCCACCGCAACTCTATCGTTCCCTTTGGTCGTTAGTATCCTTCATCACTTGTTTCGTTGGAAGTGCGAGGTAGGATGGTGCTTATAGGTGACCTGGCAGCCCTTGAGCCCTCGGCTCGTATTAGGGTGGTTTGCAGGTACGGGGAACGCACCCACGACCATGTAACAACAACAACAATACATAGCGGTACAGGCCTTTCGCGCGCGCTGTTTGCAGTGACTATATGTGTTACGCAATCGCCTCAATACACGAGTAGTTGGTTCACTCGCATTTATTGCGCGCTACTTGGCCAGTAAGCACGAGTACTTAGCAAGGGTACGCGGTTGCCTTCCTCCCTTTCTACCTGTCTACCTGTGACGACCCCTACCTAGCTAGGCTATGCAAGCATTATTGGACAGGGCCTTTCCAGGAAATAAGGTGGAGTCTTACCATCCAATGGTAGAGATTCCGGCGTGAGAGGATGACCCCCGGGTCATATGATGCACCCTAGGAGAGGCCTCTCGTGGGGCCCTTCCAGGCCCTTCCAGAAAAGGATTATTGCATTGCAGGCCTGGCCGTGTGCGGGCACAAGCAAGTGTACGGGACTAATAATGCAGCCATGACCGTGAGCTACATTACAGCCGTACGTACCGAGTACAGCCGTACGTACGTTACAGTACGTACCGAGTACAGCTGTAGAGTAAGTATAGGCAGATTCCGTTGGATGCCGGTGGTGGGTGCGGAACCTAAGGGTGCGATCCACTGAGAAGTTGACTAGGGTGACTGGATGAGGGTGCCCCGAAATACCGGTGGGAAGGCAGGGTTTCGCAGGGTAGCGGCTACGGGTGAAGATATAGGCCCCTTGTCCCACACATCATACTTAAGGGTTCGCAATAATCATACACTTCGGAAGCATGAAGCCAGCCCAGGTTTTGGAAGCCCGGGCGCCGATACTGGCCTGAGGTGAAAATACTTGTAGGAGCGCCAAGTTAGGCGTGGTGCCTGGATGGCGCTGGATGAAGCCCCAGCGCGCGTCAGCTGCGTATCCGTCATCAAGTCGCCGATGTGCTAATGGCGAGGCCAGCAATCCAGCAAGCAAGGCGAGCACATCACTTCAGGAGTCCAGCCATTGGGTCCACGGGGTGTGAGAAGGGATCACTCTTTGCCTGGTGTTACACAGGGTACGCTAGATGGCCGGTAAAGCTGCTGCTGCTGCTGCTGCTGCTGCTGCTGGTAGAGTGACGTAACAACTGGACTCAAAATAGTTGTCTCATTGTGCGTGGTGAACGAGTTGGGCAGCAGGTAGGGATAACGAGGTAAGGATTATAAATGGGTTCGCGGGGCAAAACCCTTTATTAGCTGTGCATCCAAGGAATGGATGGAAGCCTTGGTGGTGGGCAGTGGCCTATGACAGGATGGTATGCATGGATCCACATACTCTACGTGGCGTGCTTGTGCAGGTACGGTTCAAGTGTCAGAAGAGGATCAGCCCCCTTGGCATCTCCCGCGAGTGCTCCTTGTCCTTGGCATTACATCGAGTTCCTAGTTGTCCGTTGGTATACAGGAATCCGGTATCGTTCGGTATCGTCCGGTATCGTCCGGTATCGTCCCAAAGTGCATGACGCTTCTGTACGTGGTGATATATATGTACAGACGCGTCATGCTCTTTACTTATGGTTGGAGCTCAAGCTAAGAACTCCTTTCATGTCATAGCCTCTCCCCTCAGCCATACTGCAAGGGAAGAGTGTGTTCGTAAAACGCCTTCGCTGTGCTCAGGGAGATGCCCACTAGCGCGTGTAGATGCTGAACGAGAACCTTAGCCCTACTCGATATCACCGAACGGCGAAACGACGATGATGTGTTGGTTCGGTTGGAAGTTAAAAAAAGGAGCAAGGAGGGCCCTGGGCAAAATCGGATTGGACATAAGTGTATCTTAGACTGTTGTTCTTCTAGTGTCATCTGCATACAAGGGCACGCCTTTCTCCACGACTTCGTGGACTTGGTTTTATAAAGATCGTTTAGTAAGTCACGAGGTAGAATGCATATATGGTCATACATGCATCGCTGTATTTCTTTTTTATTTCATTTTTTATTTCATGAACGAAAAACGAATGACGTATATACGCGCATATGTACACGTTCGGACGTTCCATCTTTCATTTTTTATAGCTACTAACAGGTCGAAGCAGCTAAGTGCGATTAGGTTACCATTTCCTGTGTTTCATAGGGATTTATTGAGTGTATTATCTGTTCGCCTGGGCAGACCTTTTGGAGGAAGGCAGCAGAAGGGCCGGCATCACTTTGCGCGTTGGTAATTTGTTGGGACTGAACGAACCGACACAGCGGCGGAACGAAACTTTATAAAATGAAGGGACGAACGTGGTGATTACACGAACGAAGACATTTTAAGGTTCTCCAACCGGCTAATCAGCAGCAGTATCATCGTATGCGTGTTAGAGGCTTCAATCTTCAGTGTGTGCACATATCTTTACGTAATTATATAAGTCCGGCATGTTCCAAGGAGCCGCGTCTAGGGAGTAATAGAGCGCCGTGGACTAGGGGTAGTTCGACACACGACAGCGCCACTGTTTTGGCAATAACAAGACAAGACGGACATCGCTAGCAAGTATCACGCAAGTAGCCTCATCATCAGGTAACTGTATGTGTAGGTTAGATGACCTTCAACAAGCAACCTCACAAGCAATAAGAGCTACTACTCAGCTAGCCGGTATATAACGTAAACGTCGTTTTTTGGTGTTGTCCGCCCGCTTCATATGTATACGCGCGTCCTCGCCTCCATGCATATGCCCGTCCATTCCTGCCGCCTGGTCTACTGTAAATATTATCTACCGCGTCCTGTTCCGTAATAACTAAACGAACGTGCAATAAATGTAGACATATATTATTTTGTGCTTTATAATAAACACAAGCCTAAATATAATTTTGTGCATCATCTCCTTAATGGCATGGGCGGAATTTCGATTAAGCGGCCCTCACCCACGCGTGCATGCGTCTGTCACACGTATCATCAACGCTCGAACGCAGAAACAAGAACCACTGAACCACTAACGCCACTACGGGCTCTGTGGTGACCAATACTTTGCGTACCAGTGCGCGTGGGGTTTTGGCAACCATGGCCAGCAGCAGCAGCAGCAGCAGCTGGCGAGGAGCCATGCTACTACTTCTACTCCCGGCGCTGTTGCTGCTGGGGGTGACGACCGCAGAGATCCAAGGCCGCGGTGGTGGGCCCAGCAGCGGCGGGGTGGCAATCGGTGAGCCTCATCTCAAAGTATCAGTGTGATATTACCGACCAGGGGTTGCATGAATTACATTGCATGCATTTACCGTAGTTATGACTCATAAGCTCGGAGCTCAACCGCAAATCGACGGTCCTGCTTTACGACGCCGTACAATCGATGGCAGCCGGCGCGTGTTTGCAAGGTTTGTGTACAATCCACAACAAAATTATTTTGCAAGAAAACGTATACATAGATTCCCCGGCCCTTGACTCCTATTATAGACTCCAGGGTTGTATGCGACTGTTGTAAGGTTCAAAGATACCGTTACCATCCTTCAAATGAACCTCAACCGGCCTTGCATTGGATTATTCTCGATTCACCGTGCCCAGCAAGACGTCGCGATTGTCCCTGCGGCTGCGGCTGCTGCTGCTACTCAGCGTGGCTACCTGAAGTAACATTATATACAGTACTCGGGGAACGCCACCACTTAATTAATTAAGCAGCTGCTTAATTGGTTTTCTAGCATTTTGCTATTTTTTCCTCCTGATTTTCAGTCGTCGGCTAGTTGTTAATTAAGTCGAAATATGTTATCAAACCCCTAGAACCCTAAAACTCTACGACCCTGTCCATTGACGTTCCAATACTTTACCGACGCAAATCCCGATCACCGAAGGTAGCCGCGCTCCTGCCTTGTGCTTTTTCTACTTATGTATGTGTGAGTGTCGCCTGTGAAAATTTGTGTCGTCGTCGTGTAGATTACCAAATTCCAGGCCTATCTATTATACCACGGCGCGGTCTATAGGCCATTCTATACAATGAATCTGTATACGATCTATTTCTTGATCCTGTCTATGAAACGACGACCTTATCTATAGACGATTGGAAAATTTTACCGACGGCGGTCTATCCGTCCGTAGAACTTCCATCGTGTAGCTATAGATCGTGTCGAGGTGCGTACCACTTAAAGGGACCGTCCCTGTCTATTGTACATGTACACGATTCATAGGCGATAGATGATCTATTTTTTCAGGCATCTAAAAACCTCTCTTTTATTTAAATCTTGTGAGGTATAGTCCATCCTCCCCTAAACATTTCAGGATTTTGTTCGCTAATCCCTTTGAAAAAGAGCAAGCCATTCGCTCATCACGCACCTGCTGCTGCCACAACACCCCACACTTTCGTCCCTTCGTACCTGCTGCTGGTGGCTACTGGTGGCTCGCCCGCTCCCTGCCCCCTCAGGCACCATCACATCGATAACACATCTCAAGCCGACCTACTACTTGCATGAAGCAGACAGTGGCAATGTGCATCGCCTGATCTTCTGTGATGAGATGCCGCCAAGTGCCATCCCAATCGGCAACCCCGGCGTCACTGTCATGTACGACAAGACGGTGAACGGTGTCATGTATTCGTGTAACGCCCCCACTGCGTCTGAGGAGCAGCAAGGAAGTCAGCAGCTGCGGCGGCAGTTGGCAGAGACGGGAGGGTCCATCACTGTCCCTCAGGAGCCGAGGATCCTGGTCTACATGACCACATTATGTGGCTACCCTTACGGAGGACTACCACCGGAGGTAGGCGACACAGCAGCACCATACATGTATACATACCGTAGTGCTACTTATAGTTCGTGCTACAATAATTCGGGAGGCACCACGAATATGTAGCACGTACAAATTCTAAGGTATCCCAAGGGACCGCAGCACCGAAATATCGTACCCTCCGAAGCCGGTCGATCAAACTTCGCAAAAACTAGGATTTCAAGGCGGAAATCAGCTCTTAAATACATAAAATATAGTCATAAACGTAGGACATGCGACCGTAATGTTTTTTTCGGCATCATGCGAGGTGAGGGGTGAGGGCTCCTGTTTGTGCATCCAGCTGCGTCGTAATGCCTTTTACGTCGGGGTTTCAGCCACATGAAGACACGTTTCAGTAGCAACCACCCAAACACTGTATTGGCCCGGCCGGTTGGTTATTAGGTCGTTGCCACTGGTACTGAACTGTACGATCGGTCCAGAATTTGCTAGGGCGTTTCCAAAGTGCGAAAATGGTGAGAGACCATGAGCCTAAGGGTTCCCGGTGGAGGGAGACTGACTAGAAGCTGCAGCTTGAAAGGGGCCCGAAACTTTGGAAGGGGCCCCGAAATTTGTATCATGCCCGCAAAATCTGGTCCGGCCTTCCCCGAAATTCAAAGAGCACGTACAAATTTCAGAAAGTTTTTTGACCCCTCCCCGAACAAAGCGATCACGAACTATAAGTAGCACTACGGTACAGAAATAGTGTACAAGGTGCTGTGTTTGGTTTGTACTGCACACTCTCGCTGCTGTGCGATCAAGATGTCTACACTACTACCAACCCGGGGTCGCTACCAATAGGTCAACCCAGATATATCCTGCATAGTAGATACACCTTGCATTTATAGACGATTTATTTTTCGGCTCTTGTAATATCCTGGAGGGAATATCACGGGATCTGCATCCGCCGGTCGATACTTTTCTGAAAGTCGAGATACAACAGGCCTATCTATACTTAACACGATGGCCCTATCCATGTATAATAAAAAAAATGAAGTTCCTACCACTGGTACGACCATTACAGTATTACATACCGTCATGGCACAATATTACACTATATAAAAAAACCGGCGGTACATACCCATCAGCTTGCTTGGCGGGCGAAGCAAGAAGCAAGCAAGTGGTTTCACTGGGTGCTAGATAGTTCTAGGCGCTGCTGACTATGTATGACAATCGGTCGGCCTGCCGGTAATGTGCGTCTCCTACCTGAGATGTGTGCCCCCTACGCACATGCATGAACGCAGATCGTCTACGATTTGCTTGTCATCGGCAACAAGCAGTTTGTCGGAAAAACCTTGGCGGACTACATGAATACCTGCAGCTATGGCCAGATCAAATTGCTACCATCAAACGTCAAAGTGTTGGGACCCGTGGAAGTGCCTTGCAGAGGAGTCCTAAATCGATCTTCCGGGTGGAACCCTGCAGACCTTAGTTTTAACACCAGCACATGTGCGAGAGAGAACATGCCTAAATGGCATTACTGGCTTGCCGACTGGGCATCTCGCAACCATGGCGTCAATACGGCAGACTACCACCACTTGATCATGGCTTTGCCCCCATCCGCCACCTCTAGGATTCCTGGTAAGCAGGTGACGAGTTTACGCATGCTAACAATCAGTGTTTTTTTCGTTTAGGGTGGGCCTCTTATTATTATTACTTAGGAAGTAGTAGATTGTATTTCAGGGTTTTGTGTGATTTTATTCTTTTAGCTGTGAGGCGCTGGGGAGGGCTCCGGGGCTGTAGTAGCTGGTACACAGTACGGCTATACAAATACGCGCTAAGCGCGAACGCCAGCATCTCGAGAGGCCTTTTCAGCGGCCATCTACTACAGTAGGGCCCCCAGACTGCCCCGATGAGTTACAGTCCCCTCGCAAACACCGATAGAGGCACACTCAGATAGTGCAGCTCTCAGTGTGTTATATCACGAATTCAGATAAGCGCCGATCGGTGGATGCAGATACCATGTTATGCCCAGAATTCTGCGATCATCCCCCCTCTCCAGTTAGAGGACGTCCTCGACCTCTAGCCGAGCCCAGGATCCCTACAGGATAACCAGCAGTCGCAGAACAGCGTCAACTGAGATTCGGACTCAAACCGGAACTGAGATATTTGTCTCGATACCCATTGTTACATCACGATTTCAGAAACGTACCGATCGGCGCATGCAGACCCGTGATATGCCCTCCACGATGCAACAACCCGCATCTTGATGTAACTGTACATACACCCCCACTCCACATTGCTGCATCCAGCAAATTTGCCCCGGGGCCCCGCCCTTCTTCCGGCTTCGAGGAAGCCGACACAGCTTGTCAGATGACCGTAATTCAAATAGGAATTATTACTCCCAAATTGGTTGACCAGACGAAACAAGTGACGCAGGTCCCAGCTCTACTCAGGCAAAACCCCGCCTGGTATGGACTTCCGCAGCAGTGCGGTATTTAGACGGCGAACTCAAGCAACCGTATTCACAAGCCGCCGGTTTGTTAAATAACAACAGAATTCATACAGTCTTGTAAACATAGACATTAAATGTAAACAGGTCGCAATTAAATACAGCTATAGTTATTTAGACCGTACAGATCGGACATCGCTCAGAATCGCTCCAAGCAACCGACAGATAGGTAAGCAAACAGAGCCACGAGGTTAATAACAGAACAGCTTACAGGAAACAACATGCACCACCTACTGGGAAATCATGCAAAATTTGATATTCGTTACATAAAATAATAGTAAGGTGTGGATGCATGGGATGGACCACGCACTGCCTAGCACTCAGTCCCGACTGACTTTCGTTGTGCATCCAGACTGCGGAGGCTTCAGTGGATTCGCTTCTCAAGGCACCTGGTTTAAAGATACATACCTTCGCTCGACAGTCAACAAATGGGGCTCCGGAATAGTTTGGTGGAGCTCACTTCTCAGTTTGGAAATCCTTTTTCATGAGATCAGTCACAATTATGGCCTGACTCACGCGGACATTCCCGGGGGCTGCGACAGTGGAGATCAGTGCGACCACACGTGCCCCATGGGCGGAGGTGGAGGCCAGGGCATTCGCTGCTACAACGCCCCTCATAACTGGCAGGTGGGCGCTGCATGTTACCACCGGGTTTTACGTTATGTGTTCCTCACTCATCAATAGCGGCTTCGTGCATGGTCACCATGCAGGAGGTAGGTAGGCAGGTAGGTAGGTAGGTAGGTGGGTAGGTAGGTAGGTAGGTAGGTAGGTAGGTAGGTAGGTAGGTAGATAGGTAGGTAGGCAGGTAGGTAGGTAGGTAGGCAGGTAGGTAGGTAGGTAGGTAGGTAGTAGGTAGGTAGGTAGGTAGGTAGGTAGGTACGTAGGTAGGTAGGTAGGTAGGTACGTAGGTAGGTAGGTAAGTTGGTAGGGTAGGTACGTAGGTAGGTAGGTAGGTAGGTACGTAGGTAGGGAGGTAGGGACGTAGGTACGTAGGTAGGCAGGTAGGTAGGTAGGTAGGTAGGTAGGCAGGTAGGTAGGTAGGTAGGTAGGCAGGTACGTAGGTAGGTAGGTAGGTACGTAGGTAGGTAGGTAGGGAGGTAGGTACGTAGGTAGGTAGGTAGATAGGTAGGTAGGTAGGTAGGTAGGTACGTAGGTAGGTACGTAGGTAGGTAGGTAGGTAGGTAGGTAGGTAGGTACGTAGGTAGGTAGGTACGTAGGTAGGTAGGTAAGTTGGTAGGGTAGGTACGTAGGTAGGTAGGTAGGTAGGTACGTAGGTAGGTAGGTACTAGGTAGGTAGGTAGGTAGGTACGTAGGTAGGTAGGTACGTAGGTAGGGTAGAGGGTAGAGGTAAGAGATAGGGTAGGTAGGAGAGAGGGAGGGCAGTACATGCGCATGCACTGCGCCTAGCAGTCTCCAAATGATTTAAGTGCAGAGTACTCTCAACCCGCCTCAGCTTGATGTTTCAGTAGCGGTCCACGTGGATGACATGTTTATATGGAGTCAGTCGCGGTCGACCTGACAACACGAGGATGAAATGACATGTGCGGAGTTCTCCATACCATTTGTAAAAGATAACTTAAGATTCCATTATACGATATGTGTGTCATGCAATACCGCAGCTACTACACTAATGCAGTCGATTCACAATACCGTAGTGACAGGAAATGTTCGTGTTTTTAATTTCGTGACGGCATTAGGAAATTATGTCACATATAAATAGTATTCATGTTAATTATCGCCTGCCTGTCTGCCTGCCTGTCTGTCCCGTACAAAATATGAAGCCTGACTTCTCCCTGTATCTACGTTTCAATTCCACGCAGGTTGGCTTAGGCAGGCCTTTCCTCCGTCTCAATGATACAAATCTGTCATACGGCAAGATTACCAACCTTACCATCCCGTCACAAATATCGAGACCCAACAGCTCAGTGATGGTGACAGGATTGCGAATGCCGACGGGCCTGAGCCTTTTCATCTCATCAAGACAAAATACCTACACTTATGACCTGCCCTACAGAGCTACTCAGGATCGCGATACCTTCATCCTCATGCACACTTTCAACGGTAGTAAAACCATCCTGACAGGCCAGATTAATGTCGGCGGAATTTGGAGTGACCCAGCCAGCGAGTTTACCATCAAGTTTGAGTCCTGGGACGACGTCACCGGGGCAAACGTGCGAGTATGCCGTCGCCGCTTCAACATCACCACCGAGTTGAACAACTGCAAGAACGGGTTAGATGATGACTGCAACTTCCTGACGGACTCTCAAGACCCCATGTGTTTCTCACCACCGCCACCGTCACCATCACCACCACCCCGCCCGCCACCATCGCCGCCTCTGCCTCCATCACCACCACCACCTTCATCACCACCGCCCCCCACTCCGCCGGCACCTCGTCGACCGCCACGGCTACCACCATCCCCACGACGGTCACCCCCGGTCCCATCATCGCCGCCTTCACCACGGCTACCCCCACCGTACAGGGCCCCCAGAGGCCCATCGACACCGCGGCCCCCTCCAAACCCACGGCCCCCAACCGCACGTTCGAAGCCTTAATAACTAACATCATCCATAATGCACAGAATTATTGCCATTGTGAAATAAAAGTGTTGCGCAAACAAATATAGACATTGACTGCCTATGGTGGGCGCTGTACAACATGTACCCGAAGTCTCGCACACAGAATTCGGATTAGTCGGCTATATACATGTCTATACATGCATATATGTGGCTGGCCATTCACGCAAGTTCATTCCTTGCTGCCTGCCTTCACGAGGTTCACTTGATGGCGACATTCATGCTTAATTAGCGGCTAATTAGTGTCGAGCATGTATGTATGTATGTGTGACAGTACATTTGATTGGCATGGGCGTGCACCCTTTTGGAGGTGCCCCACAGGCCTGTACGGCCTGTCGTAACTGCGGTACGGCATGGCCGGGAGGCGTGCGCCCTTTACCTCTTAAGTTGCATGATGACACTGTACTAGCTCGCTGGCTAGCTACGTTATTGCATCTTGCATCCTGCCTCTGTGCGATCATTATGACATACACATGTACATACATATCTACCGTTACACCACGACTTCAGAAAAGCGCCGATCGGTGGATGCAGATCCCGATGTGATATGCCCAGAATACTATTGAGTTATCCCCCCTCTCCAGTTAGCGGACGTCCTTGACCTCTAGCCGAGCCCAGGGTCCTAAGTAAAGGCAGTACCCACGGGATTACCAGCAGAACCGCGTCATCTGAGATTCGAACTCGGACCGGAACTGATATATTTGTCTCGATACCCATTGTTACATCGCGACATATCATGGCGCATACGCATTCCAACTGGCACACAAATCGAAGTGCCCAACAGGACCATCTGGCTTAAATATGTTGCCTGATTGGGACTACTAAGGTCGGATGACCTGGATCAATAATCGAAGCACTGCGTGTATCAGCCTGGATGCAAAACCGTATTGCATGCGACACTCGTGGAACGGACCTAGCTAGTCGTTGCTATCACCGCCATGCATCCCTTCATCAACAACAGCTCTTTATCAACAGCAACTAGTGGTATGCATTTGCATGCACGTCACTGCAACCGTAACATCTGCATGCTGCTGTTATTACTGACATCTCTAGATTAGACGTAGATCATGAATTTCGTACTGCTTGGACGTGAGATGAGTGAGCAATGCGGCAGTGTAATGGCGACAGTCATTGTGAAGAAGCCGAAGCTGTGTATTCCAGCACCTGCACACATTAGAACACACATGGATGGCAGAGCAGAAAAGAGTTCTGGTTGGATGTGCACGGGGGCAGTGCACTGATGGCCATGTGCACCCCTGTGTGTGCATGTGTGTATGTGTATAACACCAGACAAAGAGTACTCGCGGGAGATGCCGAGGGAGCTGAACCCTTCTTGCAGTATGTATGTATGTAAGTATGTATGGTGTGGCACATCACAGAGGCGGCACATGGCGGCAGCGGCCACCACATACACCTCATCACTTCATAGATATCCAACGTGTGATGTTGTATGCGTACAACATACACGCTTGCGTTTTTGGGGGGTGTAGTCCGATGATAACGATGTGTACATGTACATGTAATAAGCGTCCGGTTATCAACACAGGGTGGTTACTTGGCTAACACAACGACCTGGCATTATTACAAGCGCAAGAGGGTGCCAACCTAGGGGCGGCTTCAGTGTAATGTCGTACAGGTTGCTCGTCCACTTGGCATTTCCTTATCCCGTAGCTACTTGTATGACTCAAAGTGGGGAAAGGCCTTGAAGGCCGGAAAGAAGAAGTAGCGTACACAGAACCACACAGCCGTACACACATCTCCAGGTGCGATTGATCTGGATCGAGGGTCACTTGCGGACAGATAGACATACCGGTTGAATGCCTCAATCGTGGCAATAGCCTCTTCATCACCCCAGGGTGTGGCCACCTTCACCATCAGCCTGCAACACACACACACGCGGATACATGTGCGCACGTGAGGCACGCGTTCCTTGCATTTTTATTGGCATGCAATGTACCATCATCCATGTATGTATGACCTAGGTTACACTGTGGGCCGCGAGGGCCGGGGGCCAAAGCCGAAACACAGCGCAGCACACAGCACAAGTCGGTTAGTCTTGTGTGCTCCCGACCCCGACTCAGACTGCCAACACTCTACGCGTATGTATGTATGTATGTATGTATGTATGTATGTATGTATGTATGTATGTATGTATGTATGTATGTATGCATGTATGTATGTATGTATGTATGTATGTATGTATGTATGCATGTATGCATGTATGACGCTGATTACACTGTGGGCTGAAAAGCCGGGGGCCCAGGGCCGAAACACAGCGCGGGGGCCGGATGCACACGGCTGGTTAGCCTCATGCACTCCGCCCCCGGGTCAGGCCGCACGGGGAACAACGGCCGGCACACATCAGCGCTCGTTTGGCGCTCCAGCTAGACGGGATCTATGCCCGCTGGCTCCTAACATAAACGAAATCGCAACCGGGGGGCTCTTCCTGCCGACCGAACGAACCGAGCATCTCAGAGAGCTCGCAACCAGGACCTGGAGCCCGACGAGTCATCCCGGGCTGGGGAGGTCACCAAGCTCAAAAATCCTCACGCAAAAAGAGCGCAAAGAGCTCACACCACAAGACGCCAAACAGCCTCCTGAGACAACTACCCTCCTCCGCCTCTCCCTCACTGGACTAGTCCAGGGGAGATAGCACCCGTCGGGGGGATAACACCGCACAAGCCCACACCCTTCCACAGCACTGGGTCTAGCTTGAAAAGTACTCAAACGGGAAAACCCTGCAGTGACGCCGGGCGATCAAGCCCCCGAAAACCACAGGGGGGAAGGGTAGCCAGCTCGGCGTCCCCCCATTACCGCTCTACCAAGACGGCCGGTTCCCAAGATCCTATCTCACCTAAACGCCACAACACCCGAAACCAGCAACAACGGGGCGACGGGTGCTTGTTGCTGCCCCGTCGCCCCGTTGTTGCTGGACTATTGCTGCTCACAGGGGTGGCTGGGGCATCAGGAAAGGTTCCCCTTCCGGGGGGGTCTTCCTGGTCGCTTGAAGGGTGCCCTTCTGGTGGCATGCCTCTGATGGCTCACCATATTCAAAAGACAGGTCTCACGGAAGGCCGCGATTGCTGGTAAGCTCCGGCCTCCACATGTCGGCCATAGTCGTGGGGCCCAGGAGCAAGAATTCCGTAACGTCCTGAGGACTGGGGTCTGCCCGGTATGCCCGGGTGAGAAAGTCGGCTGTGCCCTGACAGCTGAGCCCGACCGGGACGCCTCTCACCTCCCACACAATGGGCTTAGCCTGTTGCTGGTTCTTCACCAGCAGCTCCACTTCCATCGGCTCCTTGTTCGAGGTCAATTGCACCCCAGGCACGCGTAATCGACCGTTGACGATGCGCCTGGCCGCCGTCAACACTGCCAGACCTCCTTTGGGCACAAGGATGGAGAGTTCCATCACAATGTGCCGTTCCCTTCCCATCGGATAAAGCAACCGTTTTTGAATGTGCGGGCCTCCCCAACGGTTGAACTCCTGGTTGCTGCGGAAGATTTGGCCAATTGTCGCCAGAATTTGAAGTCCTGATGGACCGTATATTTGCGTGATGATGTCGCCCGTATCTGAGCCTGCTGGCCACTGGACTGTCACCACGATCGGTTCCAGTTCTAGTGTGGCTCTGTAGATATCTAAGCCTTCATTTGTTCCATAAAAGCCACTGATGGCCTTTATCTTTTGGTCGGTATGGATTGCGGTCTCGCGGCTGAGGTCGGACGGCGGCCATTTTGAACATTGCCGCGGCTAACAGCCACTGCTGGTCGCCTCTGCGACATTTTCAGGCTAATTAGGTAACCATAACTACGCTCAAACAATTGAGGTCGCTGTCGGTGGCCACGGCCGCGGTTGGCCGACGGTCATAGTAGCAGCTTCGTCAAGCTTGGTCTCATCCATACATGTGTAATGTATGTATGTATGTATGTATGTATGTATGTATGTCTATGTATGTATGTATGTATGTATGTATCTAGGTATGACTTCGATTACACTGTGGGCCGCGAGAGCGGGGGGCCGAAGCCGAAACACAGCGCAAGGGTCGGGAGCACACAGCACAAGTTGGTTAGTCTTGTGTGCTTCAGACCCCAGCAGTTTCATTTCACATACACACACACTCATATATGCATACCTTGTTCGAATGGCGGGGCCCCGGATCCCCCGGTGCAGTCGTCGAATTCGGAGCTGCCCTGCGAATAATACATGAATATGCACGTACATTATTTTATGATTATTCTGAGGTACATGGCTGCCAGCGTCACATCTTCACTTATTTCCTCTATCTCGTCGCCCCCTCGGAGTTCCTCGTCTGTAATATCTCTAATCGCCTATAGACCATCTAGATAGCCTCAGACTTATCTATTACATATTCCACGACGTGGTCTATACATAGATAGACCATTATTCTAGACATTCACTGAAGAAATCTTAAACCTTCCGAGTGCAGTCGCAACAGACTACGGGCGTTAGTTGTGTAATTGCCGAATACAATGGGCACTCCGTCGTTCCAGAATCCAGTCCAATTTTACAAACAACACAAAAGGGACGTCCGTACATATAATACGAGCATGACGCCTGTAGATGATAAAAATAAAAAACCTTACTGACATAATTGCTTAGGCGCCGTGTGTGTGTCTCGAAATTTACTTAAAATTGCACATAAATTTGGGCAGCAGGCCTCGAGGCCTCAAAGACGCCTGCCGCCTCAACGAGTCAGAGCTATCATATATTAAGCCGCATACAAGATATAAACCCCTGTGATGGATGTGAAATGTGCCGCAAAAATCAGTTACCGGCGGTACCGGTATCAGTTAACGGAATCGTACCCGTACGGGTTCCCCATATCGGTACCACAACGGTGCCCTTTTTCGGTTTTGCACCCCACACCAAATTTGTGTGGTGCACGCAAATCAATATCAGCAGAGGCAGAAAGAACGGGTCTAATGTCTACACAGCGCGTTAGTGTGGGCAGGGCCTGCCC